CGATTCCTGCATGGAATATGTTACGAATAAAATTCTCCTCAGTCACCTCACGACATATAAATATAAAATTATTACCGCGTGACTACAGACATAGTACATGTTCAAAATCTTGTAAAATGATTATTAACCATGGCCAATTTTATAATAAACAGTCAATTATACAATCGTCGTGTAAATATTATAAATTAATGTTATTTGAAACAACCTCTTGACAAAAGATACAAGATTTTACAATTCGATACACTATTTTTGTATAATTGGTGTCATGTATTTATCACGGCCAAGTCTTTAATTTAGGATGAGTTCTATGTATTCTATGTATGTGGTTTTAATGTTTACACATGTATTGCAATGAGTGGTCACACAGCGTTTATTTGTGATGTTTCTACGTAGCTAGATCGTTGTTGATTCAGAGTAATCCACAAAAATATATGGACATTATCATTTATATCTTTACGGATTCAGTACTCTTAGTTAATCGCAGTCAAAGCTACTAAAGGTCAACGCAGATCAAGGGGTGTAGAGATAATACCATTTTTATACAACATAAGAAATAAAAGTTATTACAGTGCAAAGTTGCTTGTGTAATAACTCTTCTGCTGTTTTGAGCAAACAGTTATGGTTTCTTTTTCAGAGAGTTTTTTGAAAATGGTTCTCTACACCCTACACTACCCTTACATCTACGCCGAGCCTAAAGCTCAACACAGACGGGTTATCTTAATACCTCATAAATGCATTTCACCTGCGGCCTAGCGTAACTGCATTCCAAACAGCAAACTGATTGCAAATCAATTTCTAATTTATTCAAAGCACTTAAGTTTCAGAATTATGTAATTTTTACTAAGCTTTTCTTACGCTATGTGTCTGCAAAAATTCAGCATGTAAGCAGTACAAAAGTAACCCGTTTGTGTAAACCCTAACATAAGATGAACCGCTATTATTCTTAATCTACACATTAACGTATGAAAATACAATCATTCGAAGACTAATATTTATTAACTAAGCTGATATCAAAGTTTTCACAAGCATGATATACGCACGAGTATACGTCTGACAATTCAATCAAATGTAAAAAATAAATAAGATTAATCTATCAAATATAATGTAAAAATAAATTTTATATTAAATTAGAGAGATTTCAGAGTTTCTCTGAAGAAACAAGTTTATTTTTAATTTAACTGACAAAAAAAATTGAGACTTCACAACAACGGGCGATATTCATGAAATCCATACTAGCTGACTACAAGTGCAAAATTTACGTGTTAAAAAATACAATTTCATCATTTGGCAACATCGTAAGCGGAAGTCTGTGATTTTTTGTGTATCTACCTACTTAACATTGTTTGCATCAATTCTCCATTTTAATACCATTTTATTTTATATCCTAATGGCTCATCTCGATTCTATCATCAAATCAAGTCGATGATCAGTCGACGGTCGCTAAGGCAAGCGATTTTAAATCTTAAACCAAAGCATGATAAAGATGTATTTTCGTTTGATTTGATAACTAATTTGGTGACAGAATGAAGACCTATATGACGTCTTTAGTAAAAAAATATCTCATATCACCATTGGAGCTATATTCAACGATAGATATATTATAGTGGTCACTTATCTGGCACTGTTAGTTATGGCAGTTGATATAAAATTAAAGATAAGTTTGTAGCAGAAATGCAGTTTCAAATTAACTTTAAAAAAAGCAATGCAAGGACCAATTATTTTTTAGCGATTTGTTACATGTTGATATACATATATCAATTCGTCACTATTTAGGGTAGTACCACCGTTGGTAGTTCATAATACGAAGTTTTAAGCCAATTATAATTAATGTCATTTTTTTTTAAAGCGAGATAGGCAAATGACTCTACCCCACCTGATGTTAAGGGGTGATAAAGTCCAAACGCGAAGACTTCTTTTCTTATTACGAAAGATCTTGTAAATTGTGATCTCTTATCTTTTATATCAACTGTCATATATGTGGCTAACCAAAATGCTTTTAGTTATAACTATGCAGTCTATATTCATAAACTTTTAGAATAGGTCTATAATGCATTACGACCTTATTATAATTGTCATAAGACTCATTTTAGCTTGCCACATGTGAACTTTATATCTGTACAAACGTAACATGACTGAGTATTAAATTATATTTCAAACATAAGATTGAGCAACGCACTAAATATATTCCATATATACAGCACTTACTTTATTCATATACATTAGTGTTGTAATCTGAAACAAAAAAACAATTACGCAAATAAAATATCTAATATTAAAGTTTTGTAAATTAAAACAATCGGCCTAAATCACATCAATTAACTTGAATGCATATCCGATTGCGTATAGTCGTCTTGTTGAATTACCAACGATTACCAAAAAAGTTCAGTCAGTTTTAATCAAACTTCATACATAGTAAGTGATTTGGATAAGATGATTAAATTAAGGCGGTATCTTTGCCGTAAAAGCGTAGAACTGGATTTTCTTAGTACCGTTTCTCCTTGGTTTCTGCCCGTTCTCGCATGCATTGTACTATCGTCCGCATAGTACTTCCACACGTAAGGACACGTTCATGTCGGAAGTTAGCCACCTACAGTCAGGCCATTTTAATAGGTAACATTTGACGTCTGTCAGTTTTATCTGCATAGTGAGGTGACCTGCTTAAAAACATTAAACCTGATTAAAGTGAATGAATCGATACGGACTTGAAACATATGTGAATTTTAAAAATCATCAGGCGAATCCCTGTTCTATTACTATTTTTCTTTCGTAAATTTAAGGAGCAAAATAAGACAAGTATTAATTATATAGACATAATTTAAAAAAAATGCATTTATTCAGTTGAACTATCAGAACTGTTATTAGTATTATCATCTTCATCACTGCTGTCAGCACTCAGAGATATTATAAATTCATTTTCAATAATAAAGTCTATTCTCTCATCTCGTTCAAAATCTTGTAATATTATTTTCTTTGTTTTCTCTACGACTTTTTTCCAGTCTTCTGTAGTGACTTCTTTACACGCAGTTTGTAGCAGAGTCATCGTTTTAGCAGTACTGAAAGGTGATTCAGTATTGTTCCGCGCTACATGACCCTTTATTTGTGTCCAAATAAGCTCGATGGCGTTATTCTGGCAATGATAGGGTGGCAATCGAATAACTTCGTGTCCATGCTCTAGGGCTAGTTCATCGATTACATAGTGGAGCTTGGACGGCTTAGCTTCTTTTACCAGATTTAACAACTCAACTTTCAATAAAGTTGGACTTGCATACACCATTGCTTACCAGCCACGAGACAATTGCTTGCTTTTTATTTGCTTGAGTTGGTGGTTTATCAACTTGTACATAATGATGCGGTGCAATGTCCATTATAATTTTCGATGGGTTTTCTAAGCTGACTAGCAACTTCTCAAACCACTCTTTAAAAACATAAAAGTTCATTTCTTCAAGGTAATCACTTGCCGTTCTAGAGGCGAATGCGAGGAGGCAGACTGGAATAAAACCTTGAGAAGCTGACCCGCGTGACATATAATAAGTCGGGCTCCTTTTCCCGATGATACTTTTGAGGTGGAGGCAGCTGTATCATCGGTCCATGTCCGCGAAACCGTATGGTTCGTCAATAAACACGACATTGTCCCAATCTGCAATTTTATTTACCTGACGTAAGAATGTTACTCTCTTCAAAATATTATCGTAGCGTTCTAGCAGGATTTTCCGCTTGTCAGATTTTTTAAATCTAAAGCCAATCTATTTCAACCCTTTGATAGAGAAGATTTACCGCAAAAAAAATAAGCCAGCGTCTTTTAACGAACTCAATAGCGCTTTCTGTGTAGGATATTCTTTTCTCAAGTAATATCCATAAATGTGGTTGCGAATTGCAACAGCATCAAAATTATCAACGCCAACAATTTTCTTGACCCTCTTTATTTGTTTCGGTGTACGTAAAGTATTATCTTCTGAGCCTGATTGTCCGTAGTTCTCTTTCAGAATTTGAGTTACTGTCCTCTTCCCTATTCCCAATGCTTCGGCAACGCGTTCTCTCGGTTGTGTCAATGGTAAAAAAGGCCCATCGTTAACTGATTCATGTTCAAAATAATTGTACAATTTCATTACTAGTTCGCGAGATTGACTGTTCAGCTTTTTCCCCCATTTTCGACATGGTAAGACTGTAATGTTGTTCTTGTTTACTAATTGTTAAGCAATCGGAATCCAATTTATAGCCAGGTAAACGTAGTCAGTAAAATCAGTCCAATAAAAAAGCTCGGCTTTTTTATTGAAGAAGAAAATAACAAAGAGGACACCAAAAACGCATAGTCACTTCGCACAACGACAAAAGACTGCGTCATGTAATGGCGACATGATATGGCGTCATCGACAGACACTGATGTTGCCAGCAACATCCCACCTAAATTGTACCTAACATCAATGATTTTTTCTATTTAGATAATTTTGGTATTTTTATAGGTAGTTAAATTAATTGTTCGGGGTATCAGTCTGCGTGGGAGTTAAATGGATTATGATCTCCGTTTAATACACGCACACTGTACACCAATTTTTAATGTTCTCCACCACAATTCACGAAAAACGCGTGCGAGGTGATCGCTCGAAGGACCAATGTTCGGGGTATCAGTGTGCGTGGGGTTTTAATGGAGAAATACACTGTTTAAACTGTTAAATATTTTTATTTTACTCCACAGTTGGACACAAAGTTCACTCATATTTAGAAATGTTCAATTAAAGCCAAAGGAAAAAGTATAAAAATGTTATTGTTAAAACTATTTTAATATGTAATCAACAGGTATAAAAATGTTCCGAATTTATGTTAGAATGTTAACGAGTACAACTAATTGCTACCGCGAAATGTATTGCACTGAAGTGTTCAAGTGCACGGCGGACTATGACCCAGATACCGCGAGCCGGCCCGTGCATCATCCTAATATGTCGCAATACCTCAGTGTTCGGTTTTGAACCGAACAATAATAATAAATATAATTATGTTTTATTATAATCACAACGTGGTTATTAATTTATGGTGATATTTCTTCACAAGTAATCATTGCATTCGATTCAACTTATCAGCTTTCGATTTTTAGAGTAACATCCCTAGTGTTTAAAAAAAAACTGATGCAACATTGTAGCGACGTTCAGTTCTTTAGATCAGAAATTGTTTCTTATGTTTAGAATGGTTTATTATTGAATGCAAATCGTAAAATTACTCGTATCGTTCATTATTACAATAAATATGTAATCGTAATTGAAAAAAGTTAAGCAATTGTGCAGTTCTTATTTTATGCCCGCCGTTACAAGGTTACGTTGTTGAATTATGATGAATTGTCAAATGTTACCTATTATAATGGCCTGACTATAGGAAGAGAACTAAGCGGCGTATAGCGAGATGCACGCTTAAAGTTGCGTCGCAGTAAACGAAATGTAGAACGATGAAGGCGCGCGCGGGATGTCACTGAACTGAAAGTTGCGATTGCTGCTAACTTCACAAGCACCATAGTTTGAATCGCATTATACGTGTGTCCTTTTCGTGTGTCGGTCATGGAAAAGTTTTTGAACGGCGACCACGCCCCGGACGACAGCGACGTGCTTGTGCGGGCGCGGACGCGACAGCACCAGCAGCGAGAGGGCTGCGCGTGTATACATACGTACTGTCAGTGGTGGCGCGCGTGCTTGGGCGGCGCGTGCGGGTGCGGGTGCGAGTGTTGGTGCGGGTGCGGCGCGTGCTGGCCGAGCGTCACGAGCGCAGACGCGACGGCCAGCCCGCCCAGAGGGGGCGCGCGCCCCGTTCCACCGGTGGGCAGCCGCACCAGCAGCGACAGGACTGCTGCCCGACCCCCGCGGCAAGGTTCCAACGCCACAGGCGCCGGCACACCGCCTCCTGATAACAAATAAATCAACCTTAAATTGACGTAGAAATCGTGTAACCAACATACAGTAGAATTGAGCCGGTTGACAATCAGATAATTCAAAAAAGGCATCTGCCCAGTCATTAATCTACCTGAAATAAGGCGTTGCCATATTTTTGTATTGAAATGAAATGAAATGAAATATTTATTAAAACCATAACAAAGATACAATAACAATAGTGATCGATAATAACTGCATTAGTTATAAAACTGTGTCGCAGTTATTAACGCCCACCTCCAGAAAACAAATTTTGCTACAATAATTTAAATTTTAATCCTAATTTAATATAAAAAAAGAAATTAAATGCGTGTTTGTGTCTTATTTGTGTGTGTGTGTGTGTGCGTGTGTGTGTACATGTGTGTGTGTGGGTGGGTGCGTATGTGTGTATATGTATGTGAATGTGTGAGGTATGTATAGCCCAAATTTACATTAGATGATCAGGCCAAACCCAATAAAGTACCGAATAATGCCTCTGTATCAGAATATGTCAGGCTTTGAAGCCATTCCATAGTTTTTACCCTGCATTTTCTAAGAGTAAGAGGAAATATATTCAGAACTCCGTTTACCTTGTTGTATAAAACAGAAGATATAAAGCAGAAGTGGCGTCTAGCTACATTTAATCTTACACTGCCTGTCTTACACAAAATGTAAGGTCTACGTCTACTTAACGAAACACGGTCATCATATGGCATCTGCGAGTGTTTACGTAGAATTACATTAAGTAAGTAAATGCCGTTAGGCAGATTTACTTACTTAATGTAATACTGAACTCTATGTACTTTTTAATGTTTCGTCAGTTATGACGAAACATTAAAAAGTACATAGAGTTCAGATGTTGGAAAGGTAATTGGTTTGAAATTAATTATCTTGATACAGCCCTTTGAGCCCTTTCCAGACGTAAGAGGTGAGTTTTACCTGAACAACCCCAGATAACCCCAGACAATATGATATAAGTGATTGCGCCAAAGCGTAATAAGTAGTCCTGAGAGTTTCCAAATCTACGACATTTCTAAGATTTTTAAATATGAACATTAACTTCCTGACTCTAGCTACTGTAGTATTAATATGTTCCTTCCAAGACAAAACAGCATCAACCCAAACACCAAGGTATTTAATGTGAGGAACACGCTGGATTTGCAAACAGCTACAGTTTTTGCATTCGTTTACTCGTAATTGATGAGCGCGAATGGTAAAAGAAGAAGATGGAAGAGAGTGTGAACGTGCTGCAAATGTAATGAATTTGGTTTTGTCTAAATTGAGGGTTAGCAAATTTATGGATAACCATTTCATCACTACCTGTAGTGAAAATTCAGCGTTTGAAGAAACTTCACTCCAGGTACTTCCATGGATTATCATAGCAGTATCATCCGCATATACAGTGATTTTGCAGTTTGGAAGAATCAATTTACAGAGGTCATTGATGTAGATATTAAAAAGGGTAGGACCTATGACACTCCCCTGCGGAACACCAATACTGATATGTTCATCCTGACTTGTAAAATTGTGTATCCTAACACACTGCGAACGCTCACTAAGATAACTTTTAAAAATATCCAACGCAACACCCCGAACACCGATCCTCGACATTTTTTCAATCAGAATAGGGACAGAGACAGTGTCAAACGCTTTAGAAAGATCCAGGAACACGCCAATTGTCTTGAGTTTTGATTCAAGGTTCCTAACTACTGATTCGCTAAGTTGTAGAACTGCATCTTCGGTTGATTTATTTTTCCTAAAACCAAACTGATTTGGCGCAATAATGTTATTTGCATCAAGATAATTGATGAGTCTTTTGTTTAGGATCTTTTCCAGGATCTTAGACAATACCGTTAAAACCGAGATAGGCCTATAGTTTGTGACACTGCCCTTGTCCCTACTCTTGTGAATCGGGTGTACAAGGGATTTTTTGAAAGCTGTTGGAAAAATACCGGACGTGATACACAGGTTAAAAACATGCACAAGAACAGGGACCAGTGAAGTCTTGGCTGTTTTAATTATAGCAGTAGGAATCCCATCCCATCCAGTTGCAGAAGTATTTTTTAAATCATTAATAATGCTTTCAATTTCTTCACCATCTGTAATAAAAAGGGACATTGAATTTATTGGTGAATTTTTTTCTGAAATTACAGCATTTTGTGGTACAGAAATACTGAGAGCCAAATCCTTGCCAACATTGGCAAAGTAATGATTTACTGCATTTACTGCACAATTTGGGTCATTTGAAAGCGAAAGAAGTTGATCTGCATGTGTGCGCGATTGATTAATATTGCCTATCTTTTTTATTAGAGCCCAGGTTGCTTTTGGATTAGTTTTTGTCTTAGCAAATTCAGCTTGTTCATATACTCTTTTTACCCTTTTTATTAAATTATTTAAAAACTTTTTATATCTTATGTTGGAAATCTTTAGAATCACGTTATCAGGATCTTTTTTTGCTTTATGAGATAGTTTATCACGGTTTCTCAAGCATCTTAACAAACCTGGTGTGATCTAAGGCTTAATTATTCTCTTTTTACTTGAGGACGACACTATATTTGTATATCTAATTACAATGAATGAAATTATATGGACAAGTTTATTAGTAGCCTGATCGGCGTCATGGCAAGAGAAAATAGGTGAAAAATCGACTTGTTGTAGCTCCTGGGTACATGCTTCTATATTGATATGCTTGCGAGAGCGCTCAGGGTTTGTTGACTTAAGTTTTAGGCCACAGCAAAGTATTACAGATGCGTGATCGGTAATAAATGAGTCCAAAACAAATGTAATAGCGCTAGATTTGGTCCTGAGTATAACATGATCAAGACAGTTACGACCTCTTGCAGGAAAATCATGAGCTGGCAGCAAACCATGAGACGCAGTAATATTCAAATATAAGTCTGAATGGGGATCTGTGTTGGCTGGAGTAATATTGATATTAATATCCCCAACAATAGCAATACTGGGATAATTACTAATACTTTTTAAGGTGGCGTCCAGCGAATTCATGAAACCATCAGTATTTATATACGATGGTGAGCGATATAGAGCGATTATTGCTAATTTATCTGTAAATTTTAAAATTAAACAGTTTGCACCACTAAAGAGAACGGAAGGTTTTCTCTGACGTATGCTACTACTCCTTCGTTTTGGTTACCATTTGAAGTCATACACGAGTTGAAGCCGGAGAGGCTCGGCAAAGACGGACATACGCTTAACCAACATTCAGACAAGACTATTATATCGACTGAAATAGATATACGCTGTAATAGTGTTAATAAATTACAGAAATTTCTGCCTATACTCCTAATATTTACCTGAAGAATATTTAGGTACAAAGTTTCATCTACATATAGTTTACAATCTTCAGGACAACAGTTATAGAATTTTGATACATGTATTTGTTTAATTTCATTTATAATGTTTAAGTTTTCTGACATGATGTGAAGTATTTGTTAACTTATTATTTCTTAAAAAAGATAAATATAAAGAATATACAAAGTAAATAATAAAACAATACAAATTTCTGTGATAACATGATGACTTCAGTGTCATAGGAATATATAAACTTTTGATTTTAGGTTTCTCAAAGGCTGTATATAGTTGATATAACAAACGTACAGTGCAAAAACAATTGATTATATACTGGAGCGTCTGGAACTCAGTAACAGGGAGAGGAAGTATAATAATCATAAAGATGCAGTTATCAATAATTAATTTATAGTTTGGCATTGGTATATGTAAAAATATAATCAAGGGTTTATAAAATAAACGTGTAAAATATTTTGTTATGGGTATGTATAGTTGATAGTGTAAATATGTAGTGTAAGTCTGACATGTGTTCGTGTTTAGTTATGTGTATGTGCCAAAGAAAATATCTTTACAAGACAAAATTACAACAAAAAACAAAATATTTACAATTACTTTAGTAAGGTTGTATCTTAAATATTTTGTGATAACAATGGGTTTTCGGTGCGTATAAACATATTTATATTTCATCACTAGTTTTATAAAAGTAGATAGTCATATTTGCAATTGTAAGTTAGTTAAATCATTTTCACATTTAATCATATGATGATCAGTGCCATCGGTTTTGCGCAGAAAAATTTTTCCGTGAGAGACCCAACAGTATTTAAAATTATTCAATTTTGCAAAATCACGACATAAGTAAAATAACTTTTTCATCTTAGTTGATAGATTTTCTGAAATAAAAATTGGCTTGGCGGGACCACTGATTTTAAGGGTTTCTGTAGTGAGTTTCCCTTTTTTTTTTATTGTAAATTTTGAACTTTTCAATTACTTTGTCTCTTGTTAAGACACTGATGAAATCTACAATTTTAAGCCGGTATTCTGAGTCTCTGGTAGAAAGACGAAAGACATCTTTCACTTCATATGGTTGTATTTTTAAATTAATTTCATTTATGTATGTAGAACAGTGCTTAATAAAGATTGTTTAGACTCTTTCTTAACTGGTGGAATATTCCTTAACTCAATACAAGTGGATCTCATACCACTTTCAAACTTGTCAATTTTTTCTTCCAACTTTTGTATGTACTGAATATATTCACGACGTTCCGCCTGAAGTGTATTAATTTGTTCCACAAGAGAATCATAACTGTGCGACAAAAAGTCTGTGGAGTTACGTATTTCATTGTTCTAGTTCTTTATTTCCTCAAAAGAAGAGAACATTTTTTCAAATTTGTTGATCTATTCCTCTTGCCGATTTTTAAATTCGATAAACATAGCTTTCATTTCTGACATAAAAGATGTTAATTGTTGTCATCAGGGTGTTTTCTCTTTGCGCGATGGCTTACATGTGTTTCTTTTTGTTCCCCTTGACGCTCAGTAGTTAAGTCGGATTCAGAGCGACAATGTTGTATGGGTTGCGCAAGCGTCGATAGTGGCGGAGGGGTGCGGTCGACAGGCATATTTATAATCAGTACTAGGACACTATAATGTCTAAAGAAACGGTAGTCTTAGCACAGCGTATTCTTCTACTACAGGGGTCCACGTAATCTGGTCGGTCGTCCGGTATAACTTGGCCGGTACAATGTGTAACGAAGACAGTAATATACGATGATTGTTCTTACGTGTGTTATGCGTTCACTCAAGCCACGAAGTAAGGTCTTGCGTTTTATGCACTCCTATTATTTTGACTAATTATTGCTCAAAATACTGATAGTCAAAAATACAGATTATTTGCGCGTGGAATGTAACTTAGACACGTCTGATCACCTCAGATGTCCGGAGGAAAGGGGATATTACAACGTTACAAGGTACAAAGTAACGTCACTGTGTGTGTGTGTCGTTTTAGGCGCGGCCAATCCTCAGCGTTATCGATCACGTTACAAAAAAAACAAAAACACTTTTCAATTTAATTCTATTTTAGTTATTTTCGTTACAATAATAAAATCGCTGGCAACATTCAGAGTAATCCAGATGTCACAATTGGTTATTTATTTTTCATACTTTCAAATAGACTTCGTTTTATTATCTTTAAAAAATAACAGTAGGTTATCTTAGTTTTACCTCCGCCTAGCCACCCGCGCTCAAACTCGACACACACTTGGCTGAAGGGCCTGGAAGCCATTTGCTCCATCTCCACGAAGAGACGTTGTCTTCTTCTATACAAGTCATATTTCTGTAACAAAAATGCACGTGAAGTAAACAAGCCAGAAAAGAATCCTGAACAAATAACGTTATGGTGGGTCAGCCAGCAATCACATTATATCTTAAAAGATAGATATATGCTGTCGCGAACTTTTTATAAGGGGAACAATTCCATCATACATGGTTTTTGTGTAACTTTTACAGTTTACGCAGCGCACGTAAAGGAAGACCACAAATAGATTTTTTTTCCCCGTTTTTGCATCATTTTTCATTGGTACTCCGCTCCTATTAGACGTAGCGTTATGTATAGGCTACAGCCTTTCTCGATACATGCATAATTCAACATACATATTTTTTTAATATTGGTATATGTAGATAAATAGATAGTACCTAAGATCTATCTTTTATTTATAACTTCTTTCTTTATACATTCTTTTGTAACTTCTAGTACCAAAGAGAGATCTAGTAGTTAACCAAATTAGATACCATGTATAAATAATAGCTGTAAGTTTTCCGAAGAAGTAAAATTAAATTCTGTCTGCTCTAACTTGTGTTTCCTAACCACACTCTATCTACTGTAACTTGGCTGTTTTAGCTAATTTTCAACATTTCTCTACTCTGACTCACCTGTTTTATCTTCCAAAGAGCCGCCGCTACGAGTAGCAGAAGTAGAAAACACGATGAAAACGTTATGAAGAACTGTTGCAAGTTCAGTTTCGGGTACTGCGAGAACGATATCTGTATCCAGAGGGGCGGCCTAAAGTCGTACACGTACACGAAGAAAGTCGTCAAAGTCACGTTGTCTTCTACGCCGAACGAGTGTTCCGACTTAGCGAACCTGTAATGGAACGTTCTGCGCGTCATTGTACTGTGTTTATGTGGAAGTTAATGCTGAAAATAGCAACATAATATTTACATATGTATCAATATTTTTACTCGGACTGACAAAAAACAGTCTGTAACGCTAAATTATGTGGCCGAAATTCTGAGAAATATTTTATTTATTTGTACAATAAAAAGGTTTGCATCGTGATTTTAAATTAAAATCAAGGCGGCGGCAAAGTTAGGCTGTATGAAATTCCCTATGACAAAAAAGGTATGGTAAGTCCATGTTTTTTGCAAAATTCGGCACATTTATTTTGTGAAGGACAAGTTTGTCTGTACAATGTAAAACAAATTACAATGTAGAACTAGTACCTAACACAACAACAAGTTTAGTAACTCAATAATCTTTAATTTTTCTTTTACAATGCAAACATCATCCCAATGCAATGATTTGGAAAAAAAAGGTACATTTTCCCGTTTGACACATCACCTACATTATGACTTACTTGTATCTGAAGTTGGTGCAGTTGACGTCGCTAAACAACGTCCGCTCCGCGGGCTCGGTGCGAGTGCGCACCGTGAGATTCATTCGCGCGTGCGCAGAACAAGTGATGCTAAAGTCCGCGTCCACGTCCGGTTTGACGGGCGCGTTCCGGAAGTTGATCGCGGTTAGGTGGCGGTCCTCCTTCTTGGACAGGTTGAATGTGAACTGGTAGTCCACCGCCAGGTCGTCTGGGACACAATAGGTATTTAGGACGCGAAGAGCTGCGTGCAAATTATTTGCAAAGACAGCATTTATTGCAATATTTTGTTGTGTTTCCGAACACTTACTTGCGTTGTGTGTATACATGCTTTGCACATTAGAAGTGCGCTTTCCTTTTTGCTCCTACTGTCAGGTTTGTTAAGAAGTTTTAAGGTATGTACAATTGGCAGGCGGGAATTGACTTCTGAAGTTTATTAGTGCTGTGTGCGCTAAATCTGGCCATATTATGCTCATGTTGCTTTGCATATTGTTTTGCAAATAATCTGTACCCGACTTGAGACAGCATGAAGAATGTGTAACATTGCATAGTGTGTATGTATGAGTGCATATATTTGAATCGTAGGATTGCCATAACAGTAACGAAATTGTGATTTAAACTAAAACTAGACTGGAAACTGTACTTGTCTTCATTTTAAATTCAAAGAAGACTGATTTAACTAATTTAATTATAGTTATAATTTTTATTTTTTAAGCATGTAACTGCTTGATATTTAAATCTAAAGAAAATAATAATTTAATTATAATTTACAATAACGTTAACGATCAAAAACTACAGTAAATAAACGTTATACATACCATTGAATTATGTAACAATTAGCAAACATAATTTCATATTATTCTTTTGAAAGTCGAATCATTAGAAAATATAATAAATAAGTTTAAACAAATACTCACAGTAACAAGCTCCCTTGTTGTAGATGTCGGCGTGGTAATGATTCGTGTTGTCACATTTATCGCAACGGTCTCCGGCCAAGCCTTTAGTGGTGCAGTAACATCGTCCCGTGTCCGGCGCGCAGGAAACCGCTTGCGCGTTGCAATCGCATGCTGTTCCAATAAACGAATTAATTAGACGCTAACATTATTACTACTAACAGGAAGCTCGATGGCGCAAGTGGTTATTGCGTTTCGGCCTGCGATCTTGGGAGTGAAGCCACTATCTCAATGTTCGGTCATTGGATGAGTGACCAAAAATTTATGATCTCTAGCTCCTACGTGCTTCGGAAGGCACGTCAAGCCGTTGGCCCTGGCTGCATCTACAGTCGTTAGCACCCACTAATCCGCAAGGGCCAGCGTGGTGGGTCATGGTCAATCTAGTAGTTGGGACATTAATAGGTTAATGATGATTATTATTACTACTAGTTTACTACTAGTTCAGAATTCTGATGGCAAAATTATCCCTCCTTTTCTTTCACGTCATGGTGGTCATGTTTTACTTCAGATGGCTATTCGCATTTTTCTATTGGTAAACTTGACAGCAGTACATTATAGGGATGTCGAAAGATGAAAAAAATATCGATATATCGATACATCGATATTTTAAAAAATATCAATATCGGCTTCGATATATCGCGAAAAAAACATTGATATATCGATATATCGGACCAATTTTCCCAAAAATATATTTAGGTCAGCCTAGCACAGTAATAATAGTTCAATACAAATTATAATTAAAGAAAGAATTATCAAAGTACCAAATACACTACATGGCAGTACAGTATCTCACGAAATATGACACGCGGCATAATAATGGAACGAAAATTATCTAAAAATAGACCCTATTTCCGAATGATGAAAATGATTGCAGGGCCTCTCAGCTGCCATCTTTCGTAAACAAGACTAGACAGTCACACACTTCCACAGAATATAATGGAAATCAGCACAACCAATTCACCAGCGAAACAGATTTACAAATAATAGACCATACTAAATACAGCACAGATCATAGATATGTTGAATATCATTAATCTGAGATCCAGTTACGATTTTTCCAGATACTTTAGTTAGATCGTGATATGCCGCTAATAATTAAAATAATATCGTTTTTGATACGAATTTCGATATTGGTTATTTTGTATCGATGTATCGATATATCGAATCAAAATATATCGGCAAAAAATATCGATATATCGAACAAAAAATATCGATATATCGATACATCGATATATTTTCAACAAGCCTACAGTACAACCTTATCAAAGCAGAGAATGTATACAAATTGACACTACTATTATTGAACACTCATTTTATTACTAAAAAAATAGAGCTCTACACCATACGAATCACACGATCGAAGTCGAGAAGCTAGTATCAATTTATTTATTTATTTATTCAGTTTCACATGCTGGTTTACAGAGCTAGTCCTACACACCAACAAGTCAATGCAATACAAAAACAATTCATTATATAAAATAGTCATAAGAGGAATCACAATTAAAAAGTCTAAATTAAAAATAAACATACATCAAAGTCAACGAAGTTACAGAATTAAAAATGTCAATAACATACAATTAAAAACGTGAAAACAATAAATAAATTACAAATTATAATAAACTAGAATATACACAAGACCGGCCAAAAACATTATTTTGAATGTCAAATGTAATTAGATTGAAAGAACATAATAATAATTTAAGCATTACAGATTAAAACCCAGAATCTAAAATCTGGCGAGTCATGGTAATTAATCTCCCTAGACCGTCAGCAAACAAGTCTAAGTGATCGTATTGAGCGAGCATGTCCCCGATCAGGCGCAATGCACGTACTGTGGGCGCTTGGGCAGCGTGGACGGTTCGGGTGCCAGACCTCTCCAGCAAGCGCGGCCGCCAGCGCGGCTCCAATAAACCCTAGGCATCACGCGGGATGCGAGTGGGTACCAAAAGGCATACTCTTTCTAGCACGTGTGGGGAATCAATCTTTTGGTAACTAATTGATAAATAGTGTACTATGAGGAGAAATTTCCTTTTCATATCCAGTGCTTCTAGGTCGACCATACCGTAAACAAAAATTGATGGATACAAGAACGGATAATATCCATAGTTTTTCTTGTACAACCATCGAGCAAATTTTCGTTGTCCCAAATTACTGCCCCATATTCCAATATACGACGTACGTAGGCATTGTATCATACTCTAGCCACTAAAGAACTACTAAATTCGGAGGAAGTTCTGATAATGAATTCCAGGATCCTACTCGCCGATTTGCATACGTTTATTACGTGTTGGTCAAGTCCATCTTAGTATCTAATGTTAAGCTTAAGTCTCTAATTTTGTCAACTCTTTCCAAAGGAGCGTCATATATTTTATAAATACTTTCAATACAGGACCGCTTCCGCGTAAAAGTTATTGTCTTGCATTTGTTGCTATTGAATGTCAACCGATTCGAATCTTTACTACTTATACACCTATATATTTTTAAATCGTCAGCAAATAACAAACATTTTATGAAAGACAATACTTTAGGCAAGTCATTTATCATGATTTGAAAGAGGGTAGGTCCTAACGTGTTACCTTGACTCACCCCAGACCTCGTAAAGAAGTGTTTAGATTCGTATCCATTCAACCTAACATACTGACATCTATCTTTGAGGTAGCTTGCAAAAAAATGCAGTAGTGAGGGAGTAAAACCTATTTCCGATAGCTTTATTAATAATTTATCATTATCTACAAGGTCAAAAGCTTTTTTGTAGTCAAAATAGGCCGCATCAACTTGCTGCCCAGCGTCCATTTCCGCAGAGACGTAATCTACCAGGGGTATCAAATTAGTGGTAGTCGATCGCCCTTCTCGCCGTGCTGACAGTCGTGTAATTGATCACCTATCTGCCGATTTATATGATGGTTAATTATTGCCTCGAATAGTTTGGCAAAAACGGATAGTACGGCTATTGGTCTATAGGCTGTAAAGTTAGAACCGGGTTCCCCTTTTGGAAACCCTAGAGAGCTTCCATAAATCTGGATATTTAGCCTGATTTAGTGAAAGATTGTACATAAACAACAACAGGGTTCTGAAGATAGGGACACGAAAAAAGTATCGATACTTTGTGGTATCGAGTACTTTTCTTTTCGATACCGATACTGTACTCGATACTTTGTATTCGATACTTTTACTAAATAAGTACTTTTTGGCAAGTATTGATACCTTTAAAAATTTGGATAAGCGCCTCATATTGATTGCAACGCCATCTTGTTAAATCATATCAAACCTTCTAAAAGGTTCCATAGGGTATTTGACAAGTTTTAGGCAACGATCTCACGTTATTGACTAATGTCCGTAAAAAGTGGATATTCATCATTCTGTCGTGTATTTCAGTAAAAATAACCAAATCAAAAATCCATTTTCAAGTTGCCGCGAAAACGTTTCTCTGGACAATATGGCGTCTTACTAGTGTGTGACGTCACACGACTGTTCAATTCAATTTTTGGTGATTATGGCTGCGTCTCATTACGTGACGATTCTGCCAATGTTATTAAAACGTCAAACGATACAATGTAATGTCACTTTGACTGGAAGTTTACTTGTGACGACATTTTAGGCTCCGCCAATCCCAAGCGTTTTGGGTTACGTGACATTAGATAAGAAAACTAATATCTTTTTCGCTATTTTGGCAATTTATTTTTAATACTGTCAAATGCCCTATTGTGTTGTTATAAAGTCAGTAACTGACATATTAAAATTCTTTCCAATCTGTGACTGTGTTTATTTTGCGCTTTGTTTTGTTTCATAGTTATTTATTTAGCGACCATATTATTAGGAAGTGTGATTGATTCGCCGTTTGTTGTGCTTTTCGCTTGACTGTATTTGATTTATTCAATTGTAACACTATTATTCTGTCTGTGCTGTGTATACCTATTTGAAACCACCTGAAAAAAGACGGACGAACCTCTTCTATAATTATAATCTAAAGTGAAGCATGCCAATGGCAGCCGTTAACTGCGTGTCAGATTCAAGTTAACATAAGTAAGTATAATGCTTTTTAATGATTAAAATTCAAGAAAAGTAAGTTTAATTTGAAACAAATCTGAAAAGTTTCATACTTTTAAATTGTTTAAGATTTCGATCTTTTTAATTAACATTTTAATTATGAATGTAATATTAATGAACACTTTTTTAGTGTCAGAAATCACAGCTATTTTCTTTTCAATATATAATATAGCAATTTGTGAATTTACATGTCCCTTTTTTGTTTTTGATTATACATACTATACTAAAATTCGATTGTTTTTCTTTCAATTTTAACACAGTTGCTCATCAGGCCACAGAGGCTCCGATAAGGCCCTATGAAATGTACGCGATACTTTGAAGTATCGATACTTTTTTACCGATACTACTCATGAGTAACGTATCGATACTTTCTATTCGATATCGTGTCCCTATCTGAAGATTGAAATGCAATCTTTGACCAGGAATATCGGGATACCATCAGGTCCGCCTGATGATCTAGACTTAAGGCGTTTCACGGCTTTATCTAGGTCTTCTTTATCTATGGTCGAGATAGATATTAAATTCGCGCCGGCTATTGATCGAGCCTTTCGTGCAGCTTCGTCTGTATCTAAACGTGGCATTTCATCCAGAAGCACTGTACCAAAATACCGAGCAAAAGCTTCAACAGCCTCTTGACCAGAAAATACCTCCCCATTATGTGTAAATGAGTCTATAAATCGTCTGTCTTTTCTCTTATCTTTAACATATTCCCAAAACTTTAATGGTTCGTCAATTATATTTTTTTGTATAGTCTGCACGTGTTGTTGATAAGCGTCTATTGACTACGCTTAGCTAGCCTTTTTGTATGCCACCTATAGTACTTATACAATTCTCTATTAAACTCCTTGCCCTCTAATTTGTACCTTTTCAAATGAAAATATTTTGATTTTAAGTTGTATAATGATTTCCGTCGTGTAACATTTAGGATACCGTAAGTGAGGGTTACTTTAGCTCGGGCGGGTAACTTTGTCCCAAATCAGAAAAAATATTGAACTTGCCGCCCCATCAGTATCTCATGGGTGACCGTAATAGTTCCAGTTAAAAATCACAGATAGCCATATAGGCGCGTAGTGTGATGTTGTTTACCGACATCGTTCCTGTATCAAGTTGTAATTGTAACGCGGGATTTTTTGTAACTGAAATAGTTCGCAAGTTCATGCGCAAACTTTCCCAAAACTGTGGTTTTCGGTAAGTTTACTATTTTTTCTAAATTTAAAGTTATATTTTTTATTTAACTTAATTACTTTTGGGCAAAAACATCCATTTGTGTATTCAGTATGCTAATGGTGATCTGTTATAAGGGTTACTTAACCCCAACATGGCTTAAAATGAGTTTTTTTCACAGAGAAAACTCAACGAGCTAAAGTAACCCTCTTTAAATATATTAACCCTTAAATATTATTTTTTCCTATTTTCGTATGATAACTTTGTAACTTATACTTTAAAGTTGACAATGGAAAGATATAAACTTGACATATTCATCACAAAGAGAAGCTACAATTTTATTTGAAAAAAAAAGTGCACATTTAGGTCAAAGTAACCCGCAGTTACTCGGTATTTGTATTGACTGATTTTATTATTATGCGATGACCTATTCCTAAGTGGAACATATAAATTTACGCAATCATATAGTTTCTCATAAAAAAAGTTCACACTTAAGTCACCATCGCTAATTTCTAATAAATCTGACCAATCGATAGTAGCTAGAGCACTGTACAATGCTGAAAAGTCTGTTTTGCGCCAGTTCCAGTCAGGACACGTGTCCGAATGAGAAACTGGCGGTCGCGGAACTTGTTGCAAAGGGCAACAAGTTCCGCGACCGCCGATATATCGAGGGGAGGATGATAACTGTCCACTTGAACCAGAGGTTCATCGTTAGCTGACACCATCACCTGACCGGTCACAAGATCACTCAAGACAAGGTCCAGCGTGCCACCACGATTATTTAATACATGGTTGTTTTCGCGTAATTGACGGAATTCACAGAAGTTGTCAAACTGATTTTTTACATTTACCCTGCAGGAATTTAGATTGAAATCTCCAACAATCAAAACGTTCAGACTAGGATATGCGCAAATAACATTTTCTATACACGACAACACATTCAAATATTGGTCATCTTTATAATTTGGAGGCAAATACACAACAAAACATAGTAGTTTTATACTCTTCCATTTTATAATAGCACAAATTAATTCTTTATCAGGCGTAAGGCCATCTATATCCGTAATGACTTGTACAGAATACTAATTCATACATACATACATACATACTTATATTATACATCCGAAAGTGTATTTGTCTGTTAGGTCTGTACTTCTTCATGCTCAAACCACTGAACTGAACCGATTCAGATGAAATTTGGTATAGAGATACTTTAGAGTCACCGTCACCCTCTAAGAGGGTGAAAAGAGGGGTGAAAGTTTGTATGGAAAACTAATTTTTAAACGCAGACGAGGTTGCGGGCACTGTCTTTTTATCTTATATACGAAACAAAAACCGCTTCACGATTATTGTTTTGTTTATATTTGGTAGGTCTAGAAATAGTTCGTAGGCTAGTAGGGCACAGCTAGTTTATCAATATTTTGTACTCGCATTGACGAACGGTTGAGCGCGTGACCGCGTGACCATTCCATTGGCATACAAGTGAAGGCGCGAGTATTTATCTCAATGTTGTACTCACGCTGGCAAACGCCTCCGTTGAGCGGGTTGCCCCAGTTACGGGGTGCGCAAGTGTCGCAGTGCTCGCCTACCGCGCGGCCGCCGCACGGCTGTATGCATCGCTACTAGCTGTCGCACACCGCGTAACCGTTCCATTGGCATACAAGTGAAGGAAGGAATTAAGTTATCTAAATGTTGTACTCGCGCTGGCAAACGCCTCCATTGAGCGGGATGCCCCAGTGGCCGGGCGCGCAAGTGTCGCAGTGCTAGCCGACCGCGCGGCCGCCGCACGGCTGTATGCACCGCTCCTCGCTGTCGCACACCGCGTGACCGTTCCATTGGCATACAAGTGAAGGAAGGAAGTAAATTATCTAAATGTTGTACTCACGCTGGCAAACGCCTCCGTTGAGCGGGTTGCCCCAGTGGCCGGGCGCGCAAGTGTCGCAGTGCTCGCCGACCGCGCGGCCGCCGCACGGCTGTATGCACCGCGCCTCGCTGTCGCACACCGCGTGACCGTTGCATTGGCACAGAGGGCAACGCGTGAAATGCCACCTGTTAACCCGATACATAACAACTTAGGAAAAAACCATTTAACATAAAAAAAAAATACTTGTGCTGATTAAGACGTTGGTCAAAATGTCCAAATATCGTACTCTAAGGACCTATTTGATCACTTTAGATATTCCATCTTTATCTGTAATTTGAGCAAAGGTTTAGTTGAGTCAGAGTTCTCGATAGAAAATTTTATGTTCAGAGTCCCTCGACCTAATTCCCGTTACGTTTGTAGGGATTTATTTTATATTCATCGATGTCGAACCAATCTTGGCAAGAGTTCCCCAGCTAATCGCATATGTATAAAATATAACGAAATTATCAATGTTTATGGCAATAATCTGGTCATTTTTGGCAACAGCTTTCACACATTTAAAAAAAAAATTAGTAAAGATTTTGGCTCAGTGGTCGGAGTCGTGACGGGTTGACACTTACAATAATTCATCGATCAAGTGCAAGACGCTGGTGCTGCATGATATATCCTATTAAGTTTAACACGTTATTACTTGTGAGTGTTGACTCGTGCTTGCTAGCCTGACACACTGGTTATGTTTTTTAGTTTATAGGATGTAATGCAAGAGATGGCATTTGTTATAAAGTTAATTGGAATTACTGTGTATACCTTTTATTAAAACCATACAAAGTATTTTCGATAATAAGGTTGTAAAAATTATGTAATGTATGTATTTTGTTGGTGTACCATAATTAAATAAAATAAAATAAAAATGAAAAGGTGTAAACTGGATTTTACTCAAATCTCTTAGAACCTAATAATCATTCGAAACGTATTTTTTTTGTACGTATTTTATTGAGATGAGCTCAACGGCGCAAGTGGATAGAGCGCATGGTAGGCGTTCGTGAAGTTAAGTAATTTCCGCATTAACCACTCATAGGATGGGTGAACAAAAACTTATTATCTGAATATCTTCGTGGTTCAGAAGGTACGTAAAGTCGTTCGTTCCGCGTGGTGAGTCATGACCCGTTCTCTCTATTCCATCCATAAGCCTATGCCCCAGGAGTGGGGACATTAAAAGGTATACATACTTCATAACAATCAGTCTATTGCCAGGTGTTACTGTACCTACAGACGTGCAGCGCATGCACTCTTCTACCGTCACCGGGCAGATATAACTTAGCCCCCGCCTAAGATGGGATTGCTATCCTAAAGCTACAGATAATTATCTACCGGTAGCGGCAACCTCTTGAGCGTAATTAGAAACAAATAAACATAAGCAGTAAACGCTTTTGTCTGTAAAATTGCAACTGTTACGTCAATCCATTTCCCATAGTTTATGCTCAATTTTTTTTATTGTTAACTTAGAGCAGGTAACTGCTTATGAACATAAAAATAATAGCAAAAAACAAATACTAAAAGCTAGGCCAAGCTACCGCATACTGAAATCTGTATTGAATATAAGACAAAGCAAAAACACAGCAGAGTCAAGCATAGTCCCCTTCGGCTGTTTTCAAAACCATTTTTTGAAACCAGTTTCGAAAAAAGAATTTATATTCTTCTTTCGCAACTGGTTCCGAAAAAAGGAAAAATATTACTACTTTCGAAAATAGTTTCGAATATATATTAATAATTCTTGCATCGAAACTCAGCGATCAATCATACAATTTTATTATATTTTTATTTTAAGCATCAATCTGCTTGGTTCATAAATCAAAATATCATATGAAATGGGAGGCATACAAGCTTATGGCCAGGCTGATGGTAAGTTACCGCCAAAGTCTATAAACGCTTACGCTACTATAATCTCATTCCACTTGCGCTGTTGCGTACGCTGACCCCATCCTCGTGGAGCCATGGCAAACCTTTTCACTTTTATTAATATACTTTACTTTACCTTGTTGTGGGGAGTTCTTTTCCAATAGGGTAGGGGTCTTGGCATGTACTACGGGAGGTTACCGAGGGGGGCAGGGGGGTAAAAAAGTGTAAAAATACGATCATCACATAGTATGAATACATTTCATTATAATGTTTAATTATTATTAAGACTAACGGAAACGGAACGTTACGACTTTATAGTCAGATTTATTTTTAATTTTTTGAACCAGTTTCGAAAAGCGAAAACTTTTTATTTAGCAACCAATTTTAAAAACAGAAATATTTTTCCTTTTTCGAAACGAGTTTTGAAAGAAGAATTAAAATTCATCTCTCGAAACTGGTCTCAAAAAATGTTTTCGTAAACGGCCGAAGGGGGTAAATTCAGTTTGTTATAACAGTTGTACGAAATAAATTTTGCCGGGGTTCATATTTACCTGTGCTGAGTGCAGACATGCGGCGCGTGAGGCCTTCTCCCTCCACCGGGAAGACATAAACCTCTCCCGGCACCGGCTCCGTCGTCGCACCATCCGCACGCGGGCTCCGCGCGGCACGTGGCACAGGACGCGTGCGAACCGCAACCGCCCGCGCCCGCGGTCGAGCCGCCGGCTGTGGTGGCGCCGCACGTGCCCGCGCCGCCGCTTGTTGACCACGCGCGACACCCGCCCAGCGGGAACGACGCCCCGTATGCGTTCTGTATCGCAGTATACTCATTGACGTTAATTTAATGAGAATGCCCGATATCATCCTAAGTGTTGTATAACGTTGAGCCTAATCGCAAATGAAAGCATTTTTAAAATACTAATTTTATTTGTATGGCAGTAATCTTCTTTCTCGTGCAAGTAAAAGGATATGAGCAAAGGGCAATATAAACGACACAGTACCTGTTAAATATGATTTTAACTAGACAGGTAATAAAATCTTCAATCAGTTCTTTGTATAGTAACCAAAATACCTTTGAAATATGATTAAAGACAATTAATTCAACATGTCTGTACTATAGTCTGTTAATTATATTATTATCTTTTTGACAGATCGACGCCCATGAAATTTTGTAATCTTTACGTTAAAATGTCATACAAATAATATTGTACTACATGGGACCGCCCACTTAGTGATGTACCACACATAATGATTACTAAATTGTGCCACAGATTACAAATAATCGGTAGAAATAAATGAGTAAAACCAAATTGTAAGAAAAAAGTCAAAGATATAGTTATTTATAAACATTTTTTAAATGAAATTATTAATTACAATCAATAGATCTAATTGTACAGAGTATTAGTATTAGGATAAACAAACATATAAAAAGTATACTGCTTTTTTGTTGTATATATATACATATTATAGATAAATCGATAAATCACATCCAGACACAGAGCAAATACACGTGCTATTCACACAAATATTTGTACTTGGTAAAATAATAAATCTAATGAGATTTTGTAATAATTTATTAAACACCAGTATTTTTGATATCTAAAATAATTTCGATAATTACAATCGATTAAACAATGTTCCAGTATAAAATCAATTATAGCTTTAAATCGAATGACTTATGTGATATGGTGTCACTATTTTTACTTCGATCAATCTGCCAAAAAGATAATAATAGAATGGACAGACTATAGTCATAAACTTGTTAAAAACTTGGGACGCCACTCATAGTAAATTGGGCATTCTCCTTTGGATCGCAATACTTATAAAAAAAATTAAACAAAAACTAAAACCGACTTCACAATCGAAAATGGAAACATTAAATAGATTTTCGTTTCTGACCGGTAATAATACGTCTTTCAATCTTGACCCGCCCGACTTCCAAATCATGAACCAAATAGTATTTTTCACTTTTTAGTTGCATCTTCGATTTTGAAGTCGGTTTTATTTTTTGTTTAAAAATTTTTGGTGCTTTCATAGCAACAACACGCTTGTGTTTGTGTGATTCTGGCATATTTTCGTTAGTGTGCTATACGTAGTTTGTTCAAATTGCATTATACACTAATGCAATTTGAACAAACTACGTCTTTTCAATTTCCAATTGAACCTTGCTCCCGGTGTAGTCTTCGCTGAAAGTGGACATGTTTACTACCGCTCAGGTTTAGTTTAAAGCTATTTAATTTGTCTAAGGCCAGAATGTCTTGTGTAATACCTATAAATCTGGCAATCAAACTAATGCTGTTTACTCATAACATTATTATCAAGTACTTTGAAGACTCTTATATTTCTAAAATTATATTTTATTCCCGACAAACTAAAATAGCTTACCTTATCAACACATCTTCCCGCAGAAGCGCACCATATGCACTCTTCCGCTGTACAATTGGCGCAAGTTTGGAATGTAGAACACGGGGCACTACAAGGTCCCGTCGATGCTACGCTCCTGAATAAATACAAGCAAATTTATATCTAAAAACAATGCCCATAGCACCTATTTTACTGAACTAATTACTATTATTATTTTATATTCATGAGCGTACTACTGTTAATTTTTCGATTAACATTAAAAAATCACACAACGCATTTGATCATCAGCAACATAAGATTAAATTTCATTGATTTTTACAAAATGATACTCACCGGATGTCATCAGAAGAATTGGCGGGTTTACACTTTATTGTGTCATAGTCCCAATAGCAAAGTCTTTGACTCAAATCTTCTGTGCCCTAAAAAAACAAAAACAGAACTTTAAGCATCCAACATTGGAGTCTAATCTTATCTTCAATAGCTTTTCGAACCAATAACAGCTTTTTAACACACTTTTATGTAACTATGTAATGAAATCAAAGAATCTGAATTACACGCACTTCTGATTCTTGTATCATCATGAAACTTGGCAAATATGTAGATTAGATGACAATACAATATTATGGTACCATCGAGCTGATACCATCTGATGATGGAACCTTGGACTGTCTACTAGTAAACATATCGAGTTTGGGCTCATTAGATTCGCCTTAACATATTCTATTCATTTCTCCTGATGACGAGGACTTGAGGATGGAATGGAAGGTGGCTAATGGATCCTGCACTGCCTACTAGTAAACATATCGAGTTTGGGCTTGTTACATTCGTCTTCATATATTCTGTTTTTTTAACACACTTTTATTAGGCCGACCCGTATGTAACTAAGTATGTAATTAAATATAAGGCAACTAATTTAACCATCTTTCAAGGAATCTAGATATGAAAATTGATTGAAGTATAAGCGCTGTTAGGCTATCAGCTTTCTTTTTGTATACGGCCTTAGTTGATAGTATGCGACTCACGTGAGTGTGGTGATGTTGGTGCGCGTAGCAAGCAGCACAAGAATGGAACCTGCCGCACGCTTCCCTCGGGGACTCACTGTTAGCACCACACTCGTCTATCGACAGCGCCATCTACAATACAACATGTGGAATAAAGGATTGAGTCTGCTTTCTTATCCTAGAACTAAGCGCAGTAATGCAGAGAACTCATTTGCATTTGTGCAAATGAGTTCTCTGCATTACATGATAAACAGAATGTATTCAAACTTATAATTTCATAAGTAATAATAGATAATAGGGATGGTAGGGAAAATAATTTGGACGATACGTAAAAGGGCTCTACTATGCTTCCAATTAATAAAATTACTTTATCTTTGTTAAATTTTAACCAATTTCTTCTAAAGTTTAATAAAAGCTAATCTATTCGTTTATCGTGAGGATTCCAGTGTCTACTTTTCTGATGTTGACTCGAAATTAAGTACATAAAGACTCGAAACTAAGTACAGAAAGAATGACATTATTTAGTATAATAATGAAATGAGATATAAGCGTAGCAATTAAAAAATTACGTTAGTAGAAAGCAACAATTGTCAAAAGAAACGAAAAGACTTTTTTTCTTAGGAAACATCCACGCCAATTGCCTTCAATAAAAAAAGCAAAATAAAACACAAAGAATTCACTTCAAAATGCTTTGGTACGAATATCAGTCATTAGAGAACGGTTATCTGCGTTCTCTCAATGCTTCGAGAGGTTTGCAAGTGAGTAAATATACTTCTGTCAATCTTTGTCTTTCTATTACATACAAATATCGTCCTCTAAAGAGAGAGGGTAAGAAAAACAAATACATATAAGGCGAAGGGACGCGATTAGATGTAAATACTCTCCGAAGCCTTTGGTCCCGGCTGCATTTGCAGTTATGGCCAAATAAATCGCACTCCCTTTCACAAAAAATCTATTAATTCGAACACAATAGCATTACTAGGACAGATTCACATCAAGCATATAAGACACTTATTATTCGGTTTCATGTCATCAAGTGATATTAACCCTTATGTACTTCCTACGAAGAATCGCTCTTGATAGCAATGTTCTGAACTTGAAGTTGGCAGCCTGAATATCAGAAAAGTTACGATTTATATACTGCGATTGAAATAGATATAAAGATCTGCATCAGTTTATTTGCCACTGTTACCAGGCACTACATATTAGGAAACAAAGTAATTGAAACGTCTTATTCGTTTTCACATAGCATGAGTTTTACTTTTCAGAAGAAAGAATATTACTGAGTCTTCTTTATTAACACATAGCATGGATAACATGCTTCCGACTTTTTATTGCTGAAACGTCTTATTTATCATTACAAGGCAGGGGCAATGAGATTTTTCAAACATCGCAATTATTTATTTAAATGTTACGATTACAATCTACACAAAGCATATTATGAGGATAATTGACATTGTAACAGATCCTTTTAATTAAATAAAATCACTTTTAACGAGTTATTTAATAGCATGTTTAATATCAATATTGTTGATGTTTCGGGCCCTTTAATTTTTAATATCACGGTAACACTCTTAGTTAATCATAAGAAAATTAAATGTGTAAAATATTACCTGATGCTTATGCTTCGTACAGTACATGGAAGATGCGAGACAAGTGCCGCACCAGGCGCAACCTGCGGCCGTGCAAGCTGTACACGATTCCGCGGTCATGCACAAACGCTCGTCTGCAAGGGATAATGTGCCTTAACGCAATAAACTTAAATGCGGAAATTCCATAACGGGATGGACGGAAGTGTGTAACAGGAAAGCGCGAAAGCGTGCGTTATTTGATTTGATTTTAGAACATAATGTTGAAATGGCTTATTCCTTTTGTAGTATGTTTTATTTCTTTTTTTATTAATACTAGCTTACCCGGCAAACGTTGTTTTGCCATGTATATTATTTGCAGGAAACATTTTTTTAATTCATTAAAAATAATTATCTACTATAAGTGTTCGGGGATGTACTTATAATCGAAAGCGTTATAAACAATAAAAGAATGCTTTATGTAGGGTAATAAATTGATGTTTATTAATGTAGTGAATATATTTTAAATTACAATTTCCCAAATAAATATTTATTGAATGTAAAAAAATATTTATTAAAGTTGTCTGCAAAGAATTTAAAATATAAATAAATAGTTAATAAATCCTTCCATCAGTGTTTTGGTAAAAAACAGTGACTTAATATATGTATGATAAGATATGTATTTTCAAAATATCTGTATTTTTTCTGGTAATAAATTATTATTATTATATTGTATTCATTTGTTTCTTATTTGAGACTTACCTTTCACAATAATGAAAAAGGTATATTTATTAAACTCGTACACGCTTTCGTTTTGATTTAAAACTATGTTCAAAAAGCGTTAAGTACAATATATACAGGTACAGTAATGGCCGTTGTTGGCGGGAGATTACAACACGTGTTTATTTATATGAGATCACTTAATTAACTAATAGTTAAAACTGTCTTTATCAGTTATTAATAAAATGTGAAAAAATAATTATTGCACTGGAAATTAATAATAAATTCAAGATTAGAGTAAAATTAACGTAATAGATGCACAGAAAAATTAAAATAATACGTATAAGTCACTGCTACGATCGATACACAAATGAAACCAAAAAAAAATGGCCGAAAACTGTATATTGAGGAAGACAGGAGACCGGCTTTCTTCTCATCCCTACTCCGTGATGTTTGCTGGATGAGAGGTGACCCAGGTAGATATCTAGCGGGGATAACTGATCGATTGATCGTTGATCGGTTATCGACCGGTGAAGCCGGAAGATCAAATTGAATTAGGAAAAAAAAGAAATTATTAAAAATAAAAATCGCAATGGTAAAATAGGGGTTGATTTTAAAGGGGTGAAAATTCAGGGTTATATGTATTAACTAATGCTGTATCATATAAAAAAAAAATATCTAAATATGAAAAAAAATAGGGGTGGATTACCCTTAACATTTAGGGGGATGAAAAATAGATGTTGTCCGATTCTCAGACCTACCCAATATGCAAACAAAATTTCATGAGAATCGGGAAAGCCGTTTCGGAGGAGTTTAACCACAAGCACCGCGACACGAGAATTTTATATATTCGACTAGCTGACTCAGCGAACTTCGTACCGCCATATAAAAATAGGGGTTGGTGGTAGAAGGGTGAAAATTTAGGGTTGTATGTATTTTTTGTATGATGTATCATAAAAAAATTAAAAAAAAATTATCTAAAATTGAAATAAAAAAAAATTTGGGGTGGTTTATCCTTAACATTTAGGGGGATGAAAAATAGATGTTGTCCGATTCTCAGACCTACCCAATATGCACACAAAATTTCATGAGAATCGGGAAAGCGGTTTCTGAGAATTTTATATATTAGATAAGGTGAGGTTTCAAATGTTACACATAATACGCAACTACTGTAAGGCTCGTTCGATTTTTTTTACAGTTGTCTCGGGTTTGAGCCATAGTCATATTGATGATCTCCTTTTTACGAATACAAGCCCATAAACTTATACCTTTGATATCATTCATATGCAAATTTTAATTTCGTAAATTGTTATCTCTCGAAACTAAAAGTTTATAGAAGTTATTAGATAAGAATATACAGGGTGAAATTGAATGTTTCTATGAAACTTCGTGAGATTGTTGGGTTACGTGTATAGAGTATGCCTGTTTTTTTTCGGATTTTTTAAAATTTTTATTTGGTTATTTTTTTGTCATTTCTTCCTTATGAGTAATTATTCATTTTAAACACGTCTACATAGATGTTATAAAGCAACTTAAAATAAGCACTACTAAAAAAACGGAAACTTAATGAATGCCTTCATTATGCCTCCAGTCGAGATCAGCGCCGGTCGGGGCGACGACCGGCGGCCGCCTGTGTAGGTACCTACTACACGCACAGATGACTCGGCGCTTACCTACTCTCCGCTTTGATCCACACTATTTAAAAACATTACAATAAAATAGTCTTAGATGCTATATTATAATTATTTATTCACTGATACACAATACCTTTGAATATTATTTCATAAAGCACAGGTAATTAATCAATAAAATAAATCTTCTGTTAGAGCAATTAAAAATCCTATGAAGTTAATATGACTGTCACGATTTTAAATCGGTAAAGCCTGTCTGTTAGTGTAAGAACTTCTTTTTTATTGTTAATGTTAGTTGCCTCGTTTAATTAAAACTTAAGCACAAACGGCTTATTTAAAATTGGGAAAAATCATACAGAGCAAATCGGTATAACTTACGAGCTTTGTGAAGGAAGGAACTCTTCGTGTCTGATTTGCCCACGTCAAGAAATTCCCAACACATTTAATCACAGCCACAGTCACACACACACACACACACACACACACATAATAATATGTTGTTTTGCGGCAAGCACGGGCGGGCGGCGCGCCGCGCCGCACGCTGGCAAGAAACATGCAGCGATACCGCCGGTTGCGGCGTCTTTGATGATTGATGTGAATTCCGCCCACCTCCCCTCTTCCCCGCACGCGGTGGTTTGCTTTGATTGCATGCAAAGCGCAGTCGCAAGTATATCAATCACGCGTTGGCGTGCGCATTCTTTGACTTAGTGACATACACTGTGATAATTTCATTATGCCTCGATATACGAACCAAGAATATTTAGAGATGGTGTACTGCTATCGCGAGTGTGACCAAGTAGGTTTGGTTTACGAATGAGTCCCCAAACCATAGAAGTTGCATTTTGTGCAGTGAGTGATAGGGACACTTTAAAAAAGGTGAAAAGACACGTCCGCAAACGTGCCTACCTTTGTTTGCAGCAAAATGGTAGTTTAGAGCAACAATTTTGCAGATAATAATTTAAGTCTCTTTTTATTGCTAGTGTAAATACTTTTGTGAAACTAATTGTGTACTACCAGTGTGATTGATTTGATAAAAAGTTCTAGTGAAAAAAATGAATATGTTCCTCGTTCTTCGTTGTACCTACCTACATCGCCGGTCTCGTAAGTACTTTTGAATACCTGGTTATAAATTTCATTCTGACCCAAGTATTGAACTGCAATAAGTATTTCTTTTTGTTTAACATTTGCCTATTTCCAATCGTGACAAAATTATTATTAACTTTTAAAGTTTTTCTCTGCTTAATAGAAGATGACATTTGTGCTTATTATTTCAATTTCAATAAAGGCATCTAAGACGATTTTATTGTATTGTGTGGAATCAAACGAGTCAGCTGAGCTCTGTGTAGAGGTACCTACTCACTCAACGGCTGGCGGGCGCGGTCGGTCGTTGACCCGCGGTGGAATTTTAATGTTTTTCGTTTTTTAGAAGTGCTTATTTGTTAGTTGTTTTTCACTGGATATGTAAGTTTGTTTGTTTAAAATGAATAACTACTCAAAAGGAGTAAAGGACATAAAAATACACAAATTATAAATAAATACATGAAAAAAATATACTTCAAAAAAATTCGAAAAAAAAACAGGCATACTCTATACACGTAACCCAACAATCTCACGAAGTTTCATAGAAAGATTCAATTTCACCCTATATTATTAATTTTAAATACGTAACTTTTAAAGTGTTTTAATAAAATTAGCAGACTTTGTACTTATTGTTTTGTAAGAAACTTACCAGACATGGGCTCTGTTTTACAAGCTTTCACATTCCCTTCAAACGACTCTTTCCAACCGACTTCTTCTAACTGTAAGTAATAATAAACATATATATTGTAGTTATTAAAAAGCCTATTCAAAAGCATGTGTTCTTATATGCGCAGCCGCAGCGAGATCTGATTCATACCTTTGTATACTAGTTCAAAAATACGTATTGAAACATAAAGAGCCTTATTTCATGTAACACAGTCCAACTTACGGGCAAGCAGGTCCCTTTGTCGATATGCCACGCGCAGGCGCGAGCCGCGTATGAAGCTGCGGCCAGACACGATATCTCGTTAGTGTATGACGAACATTTGTCGCCCACTTCGAATAATAACGCGTCCGAACGCAGGCGACCGTCGAAACTGCAACACAAGTTCGTAAATTAAACGTCAATGATTTGAAAAAAAAAACACACGGTCGTACTCAACGACGTCAAATTGGTTTCATGCATCATTAAGAAACCTGTAGTTCTAATATTTCAGAAATCAGATTTTTTTATTGGGTTTCGCTAGCTTAAAGAAAGTAATAGCAAAAACTGAAATAAAACTTCTCAGAGTGCGCAAGTAAAAGAAAGAATAATGATAACTTAGTTATCAAGAAGAGGAAAAAATTATAGACGAGTTAACTTATTTATAAAATAAAAAAAATCGAATTTGGCATAGTAGGTTGAAAACTTTCTTCCGTAAATACTAAAAAAAAGTGATGTGATGAAATCGCGCAAACAAAGTAGCTCAAAGTTTATTAATACAGTCTCTCTTTAAAAGTTGAGGCAGGCAAATAGCAATACAAGATTGGTCTACTAAATAGCTGGGCTGATTTTATTTATTTCAAGTTAAATTCTCTATACTAAAAGTCTATCAGTTTGATGCTAAATGAAAAACTACGACGGAAGATTATAATAGCTCAGAAAATAATAACCAAATAAGAGTTCGACATTACATTCGTCCACGCGTGGAGAAGAAGTGACTGCTAAACTCGTAAAAACACAAATGTATAGATATTGTCACGAACGCTCTGGAACTAAAACCACGAACACAGTGGAAACAGATTTACCCAGAAAGCCGTTACTCGCTACGCGTCCATTTCAATATAAACCTTAGCAGTGCGGCGTATAGTGCAATGACGTTCGCCAGAGGTAAAAGTGCAAGTAGTGGTCTTGTGTGATTGTATAAGGACTTATATAGTGTACAGTGAGTGTAGTACTGTGAACTATTTGGTGAACAAAGAAATGTCAAGCGTGCACTGGCATAATTATTCCGACCCCATCCCGACAGGTAACAATATTGTAATGATCTAAAGAAAATTTTACTAGAAAAAATTCCACGCGGACCAGGCAGCAGACGGGACTCGAACCCGCACCCTTCGCTATCCGCGCGAATGCACTGACCATTATGCTACCGCAGCCCTGACGACCGTGTCGAAATTTCTCTAGCCATAGGCTGCAAGGCAGCGCCATTTCTTCGAATTGAAGCCACAATGTCAAATGAATACCTTTACAAGTATTAAACATTTGAAATAAGAAATAGCAATTATAGTTATATCTTATTCTTTAGATTTCAACACGCTTTCTACGAATATAAGCGAATAACAACGCTTTCTATGAATGCTTAAAAAATCCAAAATTATAATATTGTAATGGTCTCACCCTCCGTGTACAATGACTGTTGGCGGTGTGCGGTGAGGCATCGGCGCGGCTGCGTGCGCGGCGCGGGCCGCACCTTTGGGCGGCGTATGAGTGCGCCAGGTTCGACACCTGCCAGAAATACAAACATTCAACTTTCAGACGTTAAGGGCCATAGATATAGAAAATGGAATAAGCGTTCCCTAACTAACTGCGAACTTAAACTGGACTGGAATGTGTGAGAGATACGAAGGTATCTTACAGCCCTTATGGGTATACAGGTCATCTATATCCTACGAATTTTATAAAGAAGTTTGTATATTTGTAACTCAATCACGCAAAAACTACTTAAATGATTTGGATAAAATGTGGTATGACTTGGATTGAGACTTTAGTTAGTTAGTTAGTTCTTCAGGGCGGTTTCCGCACTTAGTCCTAATTATTGGACCATTGTGCATGTCTCAAAAACATTCCCGTTTACTCCAGCCAGCCTATATCGGTCCAGAAGGAAAGCAGCCTTGGTAGACTGCTGCAAGCTTCCGGAAACGATTCTGGCGACTGGAGAAGTCGTGCCCGTTGGTGGGCCACACTCCTGCATTCCATGATGACATGCTGTGGCGTTTCTTCAGCCTCTGTCTGGGCTGTCTGTTACTCCTATTGTATATAGGTGTTTGTTTAGGGGACAATGACCAGTCAGGGATCCTATAATCCTGCGAAGTTTGTCCCTATTTAGTCTGCTTTTATTTGCCGCCGGAACCGCGTTTTTCGTTTGCCGGCATCCTTCACCTGTTTTCCACTCCGTCAAGCGTGATTTCTGAGTTATTTCTGACGATTAAGACATATGATATTTGTTATCCCGCAATAATTTTAGGTTCTTATAAGATTCCTTAAATACTAAAGTTAACGCGGATGAAATTGCTGGCGGCCTCGGGTACTGAAGAAATAAAAACACACATTTTTAACAGTCATACGAAATAAAGTAACCTAAAGGCACTATAAGGCTTGTGTTATGGAATACTCCCTAGAATCCTCCTATTTTATAACATCTGTTACCTTTATCATTGTAGAACTACAATTTGAACAGTGATAACACGGAAACAAATAAACGTGTGTAATTAGCATACAAACATTTGTCCCTACTAGCACAGTACATACAAAAGCAGTACTCCGACTGCATACTAGCGCCCGAATCGACGCACGCACTCAGACAAACGTCGTTTACACGGCCTCTAACCAATCTTGACAAGACAAATCTACGCAGTGCCACGTCGCGCGCCGCCGAGACTGGTCGTTGGCCGAGTTAAGTTAGCTGCGCCGCGGCGCCGCACCGTCTGCCTGTTTTTCGATCGATCGGTCGATTCCGTAACGTGGCAATAGTAACTATACACATACAATAAAAATCTACACAAATATGTTTTACATTTTGTAGGTACTGCGGCGATCTAGCCTGAAGGGATAGGCTCTGGGAGCGTAACTTTATCAGATGGAAAGCCACTAATAAGTAATAATAATCTTTTATTTTATTAGAAATTAAGGCGAATATAATAATTGTATCTCAATATGTAACCGTATGTTGTGGTGCCTGATTTCGATCTTCTGGAATCTTCTATGAAACGACAGAAGATTCCCAATTTCAAATCTTTAAAAAATCATGACATTACCAATATATCTGCCAGCCGTAGGCATTGCATGAACAAAGAGTTTACCCAAACAAGGAGGCTGTAACGCAACGGACGTTGTAACGTAGGGTTGGTACTGTAGTACCAACCCTAGCGCTCCGCTCAGTTGTAGGTATCTATTTCAAGAAAACGGCTGAGTTATGCTACTGCTCTTGTATGTATTGTGCTACTAGTATTCGAAACCATGACTTCAGTTTTTTGTTCAAAGGAGCTCATAGTAAAACTCAAAAACCAAGCTCATAAGCTAAAAAATATTTTAACAAAGTCTGATTACCGATTGATACCAGCACTTTACTTGGTTATTCGTGTTTACTGTTTGTAAACTTAACGTCAGTCTAACCTTTTAATTCCTTGTAAAGCATGATAAGGACAGACCGATGTAGAGTTTATACCAATAGCCATGTGAAGTGCATGAGGTAAGCATACCGATAGAGGATAAATATAAAAATGTATTTATTTATTACTAGTTGACCCCGCGTACTTCGTACGGGTTAAAATAATTTGGAATAAATGACGGACTCGAGTCTACCGTACTAAAAGGGACGCCGAGGGTTTATATGGGAAAATTAAATTGATGTTTTCACTATCTTCCTCGCAATTTTTCCATATTTTCTCACCTTTTAAACCTTCCCTAAACCTCCACGAACATTTCAAGACCAAGATAAGATAAATCCGTTCAGCCGTTGTCAAGTTTTAGCGAGACTAACGAACAGCAATTGATTTATTTATATATATATATATATATATATATTTACATCTTCAAAGACTTCTTGCATCTTTACAAACTGCCACCCTGCGGCGTCCACTGTACTCGACGCGATTTTGAATGTTTTAAATGCGTATTTAAGTAGCTATTATTATTATAATTTCTTGAGTCTACGCGAAATTGCATTAAAATATAAAATGCCAATATTCGATTTTAATATTTCCCGGTAATTTAGCGCATCCGTTCACCACCATAACCATACAGCACACTGAATATTTACGTATACCTTCTATGCACTGCTTAAATGCTCCTACCTCCGTCCAACCTTACGTTTAAATTGATTCTGCATAATAAGATTTATTTTTACAAAGTTACGTCCCTCAATTTTTAAAAAGAGAGTTGTTACTTCCGGATACTATAGGTAATGTATATCAATAATATTCATCCTGCTAGTCCACCGGCTTCCAGGTACACCAGTACTTATACTGTCTTTGGAGTAGGAAATAGGTAGCTACAATTACTTACTTATGTTCAAAGCTTGATCGTTATTTTTGAGTTTTACACAGGTCAGTCGGGTAGACAGGGAAGTTCTTTTTTTATTATATCTTAAAGTTTACATTGGTCCGTACATTATTGTCTTTATATTTTTATTCATTAAAGTCATGATCATATTTAAGATAACTTTTTTAGCTCGGCTGGTCTGAAATTTCAAGAGTACCGGTGAGTTGGTTGTCCCTTGACCCTGTATTTTACGGACCCAACGACAATATAGTCGTGCTCTGTGTACATCGTCGACAACGGAGTCGGAGGGATCCACCAAAGATAACTTAGAATACTGTCCGTTCCGGTGTCTTGCCTGATGCTAGTACTGCCAAGAGTTGTCCAATGGCGATCTGTAAGGTTTTCAGTGGGTAGGCTTATGATCAGACACTGAGCTTGGCCGCAAGTCTAGGTGTATTATTCATTTTTCCCAATGTAAAAATTAGTCGGGTTTATTGTGGGTATCCATAATAAATCCTTGTATAAAGGTAATTTGAAAGCAATACAAGCTACCCAGCCTTGTCGTACCTAGGAAAGATAATAGTAGTTAGACAATAAGAAAAGTTGGTGTAAATAGACTAATTCGAACTAGGTAGGCTCGAAATAAGAATAAAAATATGTAATGGAAAGCAACTTCATGAATTATCTCTGACCTCATTTTTTAATTTGATGACTCTGTATTAAAATAATACCTACAGGGTGAAAAAACAACCTCTTGCTGAGTTTCTTGCCGCTTCTTAGTACAAGGTATCCCCCGCCGTAGATTTGTATGGAGAGGCTTCTTGACGTACACTGGTGCCGAAAGCCTGAACTAAATAAAAGATCCCACCAAAACATTTTCATGAAAAATGTTGCCAAGACGATCCCGTCTTGTATCACTCGCACGGACAAAAAGTTATCAGATCGCACGTAGAGCCATGCTTCTATCTTTACACGCCCTAACACTAAGACCAATTTTATCAGTGCGGTGACAGAGAAAGAATACAACTCACCGTCCCTACTCCTCGCGTGGGTGTCGTAAGAAGTGAATAAGGGATATCGGAGCTTCCTTCCGCTCTTCTGATGCTAGGGTGCCTAACACCCGCCGGGTTTGTTACCACCGTGCGCATGGTGAAAACCCCGTTAAGTGCTTACCGCGCGTTTCGGGATCAGCCAGCGTACAACCAGAGCTCGAGTGGAGGTTGTCGCGACTGATTTAGTCCAGGGGAGGCATCCGTCGAACCGATGCCGGGAGGACTGCATCGACCCGCCGGCCAGGGAGTCCCGTAGAAACGGCTGTCCCGCTGGCCGCCCGTAACACAGTACAGGGGCCCGAGCGTTCCTAACCAGTTCGTAAGGCTGCCCCATCATGTCACGCATAATCTCGGGGTGGACCGTCGTACCGGTTGGTGACCAGTGCGTGGGGTCCCGGCGGCCACTCCGGTGGCCGGTGCGGGACCCTTCTGTCCGGTGGGTCGGCGCATCGACTCTGCAGGCAGTCATTCGGGAAAACAAACCTCCCTAATTTGCCCGAACTCTTCGCGACGACGCCCGCTTGTTTTCACGTCTCTTTTTCAATTCCACCATGGCAGCCTCTAAAACAAAGTTTGGGTGTATAGCGGTGCATACCCCCACGCCTTCAATGCTGTTTAAGGTAGAGTTCTGCAACATACGCGGACTCCTCTCTAACCTCAACGCTGTCGACCACTATCTTGAGACAGCACGCCCAGCATTGTTGACGAAGACACAAATACTTCCGCCTGCTGAAACAGGATACCTTAACTATCCCGGCTACGTGTTTAAAGAGTCCTTTAAAGCGAAAGCCGGTGTGTGCCTGTATGTTCGGGCGAATGTTTGTTGTTGCTTTCTCCGCTGCTTGGAAGATCCCTCCTACTCCATGCTGGTGGTACACGTCGACTCTGGTCCCCCAGGCCAGAGTCTACGTGTGCCTCTACAGATCCCATACTCGCGATGTTGAGACAACTCGACTTTTCGAACACCTTAGTCGGGCAGCAGATGACGCGCAAGAACAATTTCCCAAAGCAGAATTGGTGCTTTAGGGGGAATTTAATGCTCACCACAATTGTAAATTGTGGTTAAGTTCCTCTAAAACCAACCATGCAGAGCTCTGCTCACGCATGACTTGAAGCAACTGGTCGATCAGCCCACCAGGATTCCAGATATTTCAAGTCAAGCACCTTTATTGCTGGGCCTTCTGCTCACGACCCATCATACTAATGCTCGTATTCTTTGGGGCGTGTGCCGGAGACTTGGAGAGATGCCAACATGCAACCGGTGCCCAAAAAAGGAGATCCCTCAGACCCGGTAAACTATCGGCCAATAGCTGTCACCCCAGTATCATGTAAAGTCCTAGAAAAGGTTCTTAACAACCATCTGACCCGCTACCGAGAGGATCAATCCCTGATTAATGATCGTCAATATAGTTTTAGACCCAAACGGTCGACGGGTGATCTTCTAGCGTACTTGACTCATATCTGGGGTGAGGCTATCGACAAGCGTGGCGAGTCGTTGGCTATCAGCCTTGACATTGCCAAGGCGTTCGTCAGGGTCTAGCACAAAAGCATTCTCACCAAGCTTCCGGCATACGGTCTGCCGGCACAGTTCTGTTTATTTATTTAATTCCTTTTGGGAATATTCATTGCGATGCATACGATAGTACAGTGCATGCGGGGTATCACGGGCAGGCGGTAACCAAGGAGAAACGGGAGAATCTTGTCATTGAATTCAATCAGGCTTTGGACCATATTTCTGAATGGGGTACCAGGTTTGGTTGAGTTCAATGCTAACAAAACCCAGGTCTGCGCTTTCACGGCAAAAACGTCGCCATTCCTTACATGTCTTGGAGACCTGAACAAGGTGCGGCGTTTTTTCACGCCCGAGCAATTTAACTGTGCTTGTTGTATAAGGAGCAGGTCTTGCGTAGAATATTGCTCGTAATTCTGGGATGATTCCACCAAGTACTTGTTCGATGCTTTGGATGGGTTACAGCGGCGCGCGATCCGCATGATAGGCGATGAAGAGGTGACTAAACACCTAGAGCCTCTACAACTACGCCTTGACGTGGCGTCACTAAGCACGTTCTATCGTCTGTACCACGGCGAGTGTTCTGAGGAGTTTCTCTCTTATTCCACCTTCCCCTTTCCTTCATTGGATCTCGCGCGCTGACCTACGTTGTCACCGACTGACTGTGGCCACAATTCCAACGCGTTCAAAGAAATTTGTTGACTCATTTCTTTGTTGCACTATCCGTAAATGGATTGCACTGACCGCTAACGTATTCCCTCCCTGTTAGAACCTGGGATTCTTTAAAAGAGGCGTTAAGAAGCAACATGCAGGCCGGCAGGGTGAGGATGGCTGGTGTGGTAGGTAGAACTGCTGTATCAGCTATCTTCGCGTCTGGACTTCACCGTTACTTATATAATTCGAGATTTTTTTATGAGGATAATCCAACCCCTAGTTATAAAGGTCCACTAAAATGGCGATGCCCTTCGGGAAAAGTTAGGTGGAGCCCTTGCACTTTGCTTGTCTTGTCGTGTTGGTGGGGGGCACGGTTGCGTTGATATTGAATTCGAATTTTGAATTTGTATAAGTTATAGGGAAGGTGAATACCTGTATACATACTAAGAGGTAAGGTTAATTGGGATATCAAAAAAAATCAAAGATACAAATTAGCAAATGGTGCATAGAAATAAGCTTAATATAAGTTAATTTCAGTGACATAATTAACATGTTTTCTAGATGTGATATTATAAATACAAAGGCTGAACAATAATACTGTATACTTAAAAATTTAACCAACAGTTCTCACAAGAATTCTCTGTAGGTAGGTACATTACGACAAAATAATAAATGAATCACATTCTTAATAAATAATGTCTAATAATTAACGTTGTTAAAGTTCTCTCGATCATTAATGTCGATTAATCGTGTAGGTTTATCATGTACCTACATTATAATAAATCGAAAACGGAAACAAAACAATAATAATAATGACATTTATTTCAGATTATTCCATCCATAATGGTTAGTAACAATTATGCTTACAAATCTAGTGTTAGTAAATTGAATTCACAAAATAAAATTAAATAAAAAAACAAAAAGAAACATACAAATAAAATTAACGACTAAGGATAATATTCTAAAAGTTATCAATGGTATAAAATATCAAATTTGCTAAAAAATCTCTTCATTGTTTTACGTTTATTTACTTCTATCAAATAATACGATAAATTTCACTCCGGTAATAAGTTTGCGTCCACGGAGCACGGATCTGTATACAAACACACGCGACCCGTAGGACGCCCAGTTTCGTCTCTCAAATGCACCCAAAACGGGCCCCTCAGGTGTCGCGCGATCTCGCAAATTAAGATACCTACTGGATGCAAGATGATCATCGTAGAGAATTGATAAAAACTTTTTTAAATATATACAGGAAGACGCAATAAAATCTGTAAATTGAACCCCAAATATACATTGCAAAATATACACTGCACGGTAGCGCCCTCCAAATTCCGCACGGTCGATGGTCGCACTATGAAATACGTTAAAAAGCATTCTGGTGATGAAATTGAGTCCACGCCAATTTTTTGCCCATGCATTCTACGCATCAAAAGACGCCTTTGCACAAAAAATGAGGCTAGGTTAATCTTGCGTCCGTATACCGGACGCATCAAGTCGGTCGGACGCAGGATCAATAGCAAAAATCGCCATATAAGACGCAACATGATCAGCAAGATGTATATATATATATATATATATATATATATATATATATCCGTATATATATATATATATATATATATATATAGATTTACCTGACGTCATACACCAGTCCCCCAGCGGAATAGCATCTCGCAGCCGCTGGGCTAGCGACGGCGGCGGCCGCGCTATCGTTATGCGCGTTGCCTCCGAACACTAGCAGCATACCTAGAGAAACAAACGATCGTCTTAATCAACTAATTGATATCCCCTACAAACAGATGGTGCTGCGGGGCAACTTAAGAAATGTATAAAGAAGTTACCACTTAATAATAACAGGGCTCGGGATTGAACCTTCGATCGTCGGTTTTAACCTCAAGATAGGCTATCCATCCCTTTCTTTGAGTATCAAAATTACGGATAACTTCTTCTTGTTGTTATTGCTACTTTTTGACCATAGACAAAGGATTACGGATGATGCGAGTTACGCGATTACTCTCATGCCAAAACTCCTACCCCCTTATTCCAAAACGCGGACTAAAGTTAGCCTTGGATTAAAGCTAATGTTATATCCTTCTTTTTTCAAGCAAACAAAAGTGACAGCATCGGTTTTAGTAACTTCAGTTTACGTTTTATAATTAGGCAGCTTATGTCCCGTAAAAAGTTTAACTTCATTTAGGATAGCATAGCGTGCATTCGCCCGACTCGGAAAATTCTGGTTCCAATCCAGCCTGACAATTGACTATATAATTTTGTTTCTAAAAAAGTTTTTATATAACTGAAATCATGACAAGGTTATACTATTGGCTTATTTAAAAACAAATAGCCAATGCTGGCAGCACAAAGTGTTCGCAACATTTGTCTTTTAAAAAAATATACCTTATCCCTAAAAACAATTATGTATCTTATCACTATTAAATATAGAGGCAAATGTTAAGCTTCACCATTTTATCCATTGAAAATCTTACCTGGCGCTACAAATGTAGCGGAATGTAAGTATCTCGGCGTAGGCGCAGATGGCAGAGGCCTCCATATCTTTTTGTTCACGTCATATTCGTACAAAGCTGGTGAAGGCACCTGTATATGAAAAACACAATAAAATACCTTTTTCAGGATTAATATGTGCCAAGTTATCACAGTGTCAAAGGGGTTCGAACTTTTGTATATGGAAGCTGGCCTATAGACTCCCGCTGCCATTTTTATTTTTTAAGCATTAAAATGCCAGAGATATTGCTCAGATTGGCCTGCACCTCTTGACTTGCGTGGCCTCAGATTCGAAGACCAATCCGCCGTGAATGTAGACCTTTACCAAGAGTAGGTGCCACATAATTTACAAATTTCATCTCATTTATTTTCACTATGAGGGTGAGAATAGCACAGAATTTTCCATATAATTTTTATAAAGTACGTTACAGCCTCAAATCCGGAGACAGTATTCATTTCCACTATTATAGCCTGCGCAGACGAAGGACTTTTGCACGCGTTATTTTTGTCCGCCAAAATAGATCACTTACAAGTGCATCGAGTAACGACGGATTTAAAAGTACAAAAGTCCCCTGAACAACCGAGGACATCGAGAGACTGGACAGGATATAAGTACGCAGGTGTCCCCGAAAGAATAGAACTATGTAACTAAGCGCAGCAAACCACATGGAGAATTTTACTCTGCGTTGCGCGCTCGATCTAATTTTAAGGAATGCTCCTAGTATTATCTTTTAAAACATCTTCTATTTTTCTTTAAACTTCATGTTAATTACAACACAACGTAATCTGAGCATATTTACTTCCATTGCCTACGTTTTTCTTAATATTCGGAGGACATATGTTTGCACAGCGTGAGCGTTGAGTCCGTGACAAGTCCTCGACGGACATTTGCTTTCAGAGACTTTTGTCCTACGCGGAAAAAAGTCCTTCGTCTGCGCAAGCCATTAGGGTGAGAATTGCTCCGAATTTTTGATATTTGTTTTTTATAAAGTACGTTACCTGCGTAGCCTCAGATTCGGAGACCAATCCGCCGTGAACATAAACCTTCCCCGAGAGCGGGTCCCACGAGGCGGTGTGACCGAAGCCGGCTCGAGCCGGCCATCCTTTGGTCGCAGCCGCTACCCATATGCCTTCCTCTATGTAATATTCCTGAACGAATATGAAAATTTATTAGAATCGTTGACTACTCCACAGAAGCTTATCGAGAAAGCTGACTCGATACATTTTGTGCCAAACACTCCAAGAAACATTAGAAAGTGTCACCCTCACATTCTTATGAAAAACAAGAAGATTAATACAAAAATAAGACGATGGCTTCATAGCTTTGCCTTTGCCATTCCCAATAGGGAAGAATAGTACTAAAAATAAAATACCTGTACAGTATGTAAGTATCCATAGTGAGGCGAATGGCCGAAGAATGCAAGCATCACAGGCTTCTTGGTTGGACCTAGACGGACCACCACCGCTGTGTGACCCGAGACGTGTAAACCACCTAATGGAGTCAAAATAATAAATGAAAAGTATTAGCTGCAGCAATAAAACACTTGAAGCTAAGAAGAAAATATACGGTCTTACTACAAAAAAGTTACGATAAGGTTTCAAACCTTGTTTAGGCAAATTTTGTATGGTATTTTTTTTTAACTCATGTTGATGTGTCAACATGAGTTAAAAAAAAAGTAAAAGTAAGATACACATGTGTTTTGTGGTAATAAGGATAGAATTTTGCAATTGTCTATGAAGTAGATATATAGGATATTTATTGCTTGGTGAAATGGTATCAAACCTATCTTCTGTTTAGAACTCTTGGATTTAAATCAAGTCAGGGCATTATGTTGAATTAATTTATTAAGAGTCATTTATTTGTGTTGGATTTTTATAGGAATCTACTGATTTCCATAAAAAATCCAACACAAAATAAACAATTAACAATTTCTTTGTGGAATATCTTTACACAGCTACAATCAATATAAGAAAAAGTAAGAATACGGTTGACAAGTTTAAAAATAAACCAATTTTTTGTCCATTTAATATCGCATGTGTGTAACGAAGAAAGTTTAGAAAATACGCAACAAGAAACGTTCGTCATGTGTTGGTTCTGTAAAATAACATTAAGAAATTGTCCTGTTTTGTTATTCTTCGAACGACCAAGTTAGTAGTAAGATTGTTTTTAAAGTGTGCAATTTGTTTTGTATTATAAATATTCAGCCCTTTTATTTATATGATTTTTATAAAGTTAATTACGTGATTGCCCTGTTTTTTAATTCTTGGAACGAACAAGTTAGTAGTTACTTTGTTTTTAAATTGTGCAATTTTTTTTTTGTATAATAAATATTCAGCCCTTCTTTTGAATGATTTTCATAAAGTTAATTATGAAGGTGCCCTGTTTTTGTAATGCTTCGAACGAACAAGTTAGTCGTTACTTTGTTTTTAAAGTATGCAATTTGTTTTGTATGATAAATATTTAGCCCTTTTATTCGAATGATTTTCAGAAAGTTAACCAAAGTTTGTTTTATTAACAATGAACAGCGCAGCGTATTGTTTCTACAGATTTACGTAATATTCACGCTACGGCTTCGCATAAAGGTATTTCGTAACACTTACTAAAGGTATTGCGTAACGCTTACTCGCAAAAAATTTCAAACGATTTTGCAATTGCATAGTTTCACTCAACCAACGTTTCTTGTCATTGAAGAAAAATAGAACTTTAATAACAATGCTTTTTAAATATGCCTTTCAATCCCCGTTTTAAGCCTTCAGGGGATAAATATCCAAATTACCACCAAAGTACTTTTTTTTTTATTTCTCGAAAATTACTACTACTATTTTACAAATATTGAACTTACTCATAATAATGGTATGATATCTTAGGTCAACTCAAATGGTTGTCTAACTGAGAAATTAAGAGACAGCTAAAATATTCCCGTATCGTCGCATATTCAACATTAATTAATAAACAAATATTTTATAATGTGGCATTAAAAATACATACAATCCTAAATTTTGACTCTTCTACCATTAACCCCTATTTTTATGGTGGTACGAAGTTCGCTAGGTCAGCTAGTATTTATATGAATTTGATATCCACCATGGATTGAATTGATAGGCACCGAACTCGCTGAAAGGGCAGTGTTTTTCATTTTATTTTATTCACTTCTGTTATTTTCCAGCTTCCGGCGAATTTATTATTTTATTTTCCAGTTCTAATTTAGGTACGTACCGCAGTGCCGTAACGTCGTGGGTCTTGGCGTACAACATTCTGTATATGGCCACGAGGTCACGAAGGAGCTCAATAGCGCAGGTGGTTAACACGTTTTACTTGCGATCGTGAAAGTTAAGCAAGTTCGCAGCGGTCGATCATTGGATGAGTGACTAAAAACTTATCATCTCGAGCTCGGAAGTGCTTCGGAAGGCAAGTTAAGCAGTTGATCCCAGTTGCATATGCATCTGAAAATCGGCACTGGGCGTGCGTGGTAGGTCACGGGCCACGGTCCAGTCTCTCTATTCTATTCACGGCGAAGACCTGTGCCCCTGCAGTGGGAACATTAATATGCTTGTAGTAACGGCGTGGCATAGCCGCAACCGTTCTCCATGTTTATTTCCTCCATGTTGGACCTTCTTGGCCACCACTAATTTAAAAATTATCATTTAAGGTTTTATTTAGTTTGAATGCAATTCCGTCGAGGCTGTCAATTTTTTTTTTTAATTATTGTCAGTCCAGCAGAAAGCTAATCAAAGATAGATCTCGTTTGCCATACTTATTCTAATTTGTTTAATTTCGGCACGATTAAAAATGTTTCTGTAAAATAGTTAGTTTTCAACCCAGTGAGTTTCAATTTCTACCATTAATATACCGTTTCAAGCTTATTTATGTTGGTGAGTTATTAATTCTAACAGACCCCTCTAGCGACGGCTACCATCGCGGACTGATGATGATATGGCTACGACAGAACAACCTGTACATACCGCAGTGCCGTAACGGCGCGGGTCTGGGAGGCGCGCAGTTGACCGGCGTTGCATTCCTCCAGGAGGGGCGCGGCGAGTTGAGCGATATACGCCACAGTTCATTTGTCACCTCCCCGGCACGACCTTCGAGGCCCGCTAAACCACCTCTGCACAAAAATGGGGATGTGATCTACAATCGATACAGAAGCCAAAAAAATTGTTTTAAGAATTTTTGTCTGTTTGTCTGTATGTATGTCCGGTATAAACTCAAAAAGTACTGCATGGGTTTACTTCAAATTTGGCACGAATATTATTAAGAAGTTAGGTCAACATATAGGCTACATAATTTCACGAAACTCCACCCCTAAGGGGGTAATACGGGGGTTGGAAGTTTGTATGAAAGTCCTATGTTTTTTGAAATAAGAGACTTGAAATTTAACATGTATGGTCTATAGATGGTGTAGAGGTGTACTAATAATGTATCTTTTGAAAGAAACACCCTTTTAGGGTCAAAAAGTATGTGCAAATAACTAACTCCACGGGTACGAAGTCGCGGGCGGTCGCTAGCACGATATAAATATTTCTACCATTATCCTAGCGACAAAGTAAACACTGTAATTGTATTATCCGATACTAGAGTAACGGATAGAATACATATACTGATACTTATATACGTATATTTTTCTAGAAATATATAAACAACCATGGCTCAGGTACAAATGTTCGTATTTATCAAACGAACATTTGCCCCTACCGGGATTCGAACCCGCGACTAATATTTTTGTCAAATGGGAGGTTAAAAAGGCACTAGTGAAATGTGAGATGAGAAAGATATTGGTACGATGTATACTCTCACTACTCATTCGTTAAAACATATACAAAATCCAAACATGCAGTTTAATTGTTAGACTAAAAGGAGGATTCACGAATCCTGGTTACTCCAAGAATACACACTGCCGGATTTAGGGGAGGGCAACCGGGGCGAAAGCCCCTGGGCCTCCACAAACGGGGGGGCCCCACTATAGAGACTTCGGAAAAAAAAATCTTTCAAATTCCAACTAGTAAACATCTTTTCCTTTGATATTTTGCTCTTTTACCTTTGCTACAGCCTACAGTACTTTGTACATCTAACATACATGATTATTTGATTATATTAATCTTAAAAAACAGAAATCATTGATCTAAATGATTTATTGAATAGAATAGAATAGAATATAATTTTATTAACCCTCATATTACGGATATTACACATAATTCCTTATCCGTATATCTATTTAATGTAAATAATATACTTTACTAGTACTTATTTTCCGTATTTATTCATAAAGTCATCTTTTGCTTATGTTCTTTTTAATAATAAATAAAAAATTCATTTACTTTTATTCGTCGACTATCTAAAATTGGCAGTGGCAGTATGCAACTCTAAGATTGTAATATACACAAATGCAGTGCATATCCTTGTCTCATAATTTGTTTTACTTACAGAATTCACAGAACCAAATATGTAGGTGCCAGAGGTTAAATATTATTATCCTAACTATCTATACTAATAGTTAGGTATTATAAAGAGGCAACAGTTGTATGTGTGTAACAAATAATCTCTCAAACCTGATCCGATTTCGAAAATTTATTCACCATAAAGTAGCTAGCTACATTATTTAATATATTTTTAAGCATTAATCTCAATAAGTTGATTAATCTGCTCGATTTACAAAACTAAAGAAACTTTTACTTGAAAAATTCTAACAACTTCTCCGATAGGATTTTTTTAGTATTTTTTTTTTCTTTAAAACTACATTATATTCGAGTGACATAGGCTTTATTCTATCCCGTTAAAATAAATTTCGCCCATGCAATGTCGTTATTTTCATAAGGACGTGGAGGCTTCGATTCTAAGTTGACTACAATTTCTTGTTTAGAAATGTTAAGGTCTTTAAGAAATTTGTTTTCAATGAATTTAACATTCCTCGCGATTGTTAACTTAAAGTTTACAGTATCTAAAAGGTACGATAGATTACTGTATTACTTATGAGAAAAGTGGCTTATCTGTGACAGGTTTTGCGGATGCTGACTGGGCTTCTAACGAAATTGACAGACGTTCCTATACGGGCTATGTTTTCAAAATTGGTAATTCACTGACTTGTTGGGAAAGTACGAAACAGCGAACAGTCGCGTTATCGAGTACCGAAGCGGAGTACATGTCGCTTTCGGATTCTTGTAAAGAGGCACTATTTATTAAAACTTTTTATAAAGAATGTATTAATGTTCATATTAAGATTTTCAATGACAACCAGTCTGCTCTTAAACTAACTGAAAATAGCATGTTTCACGGTAGATCTAAGCATATAGACATACGCCATCACTTCGTTCGGGAGGCGGTAGGCAACCGGTTAATTAAAGTAAATTTCTTGCCAACGTCCGAAATTATAGTGGACATCTTAACAAAACCCTTGTCTGCAGAAAAAAACAACTATTTTCTAAAGGGTTTAGGCTTACAACGTAATTTGTCAAATAGGTAGATATATCTACCTAACCTAACTAACCTAACGTTAGTTAAGTTTAGGGGCGGTGTTAGAGGTGTAAACTCAACTTAACGTTGTCTCTGACACACGTTTCCTTAGTAACGTGAAAAACGAGAAGTCTTGGAATACAAGTTATCAAGCAAGTTTGTATTTTCATTTTACTCCAATAGGAGCGGATCACTAGTATAATATAATATTATAGATGCGAAAGTGAGTTTGTTTGTTATGATTCCGCGCCCTAATAGCTAAATCGATTATGATGAATTTCCCTATAGCAATAGGTGGGGTGGTGGGGTTCTAAGCTACATTATTGAAATATCTATAGGGGTAGGGTGATGGGAGGGGAAATTTACCTATAAAACTTTACATTATTTGCTTCGAATTTTGCAGAATTATCTGCAGAATACTATGAATTAATATATTTAAAATAAACTTTGAAAACTGTTTCATTCTCAGTTTTTCATTGAATTTAAAAAATATAAATACCTATTATGATAACTTATTTTTCATCATTTAATAAGAAGGAACTTTATCACAGTTTAATTGTAAATACTTCGTATAGGATTAGATACTGTGAGTAGCCCATTTTTTCTTTTCCTCCTAGGTTTTATCTATGTTTATAAACACCAAAATTCATCACTTTTCTTCTCATAGTATACTCGTACTCCTGCATAGCACAACGCGCTGTCACTTTGTCATCGTAATATCGTAGTAACTTTTAAATATTTGTCGAAATTACACAGAGTAAAAGGCAAAGTTTATCGTCTTTAAATATCAAAAGCATTTAAAATTTAAATTTATACAAAATATGCATTTTGGAAATTTATTTCAATTAATATTTTATTTTTGATTCACTATTTTAGCTATAATGGCTTACACATTAAAAATAGATATATGCTGTTCTGGACTTTTTTGTAGAACTACATAAGAGATACAAATCCACCGTACATTATATTCATGTAACTTTTATTGTTTTAGCGGTGCAGGTCAAAATAAATAAATAAAATAAATAAATAATTAAATATTTCCAACACTCACTCCAATTAGCCTAGCCCCAAAGTAAGCACTGTAAGGCTTGTGTTATGGGATGCTAGGGTAACGGATAGAATACATATACTGTACATATATAAGTATATTTATATAGAAATACATATTAAACATCCATGACTGGAGTACAAATGCTCGTATTCATCACACAAACATCTGCCCCCACAGGGATTTGAACCCGGGACCTCTCGAGTCGGCGACACCATGAAACCCGGCGTACAAACCACTCGACTACGGAGGTCGTCAAAATGGCTCGCAGATGGGAGACTTTTTCCGTCTCACATGACACTTATTGTTATATTTTGGCCAATTCACCAAATAATAACATAAATTGTAATCTATATGCTATTATTATGTATGAGCTTTATTATTGATTAGTTTGATTAAAATCCACTTAGTATTTTTTGAGTGAAAGAGTAACAAAGATCTATACAAACGTTAGATTGAAATTAAAAGCGCAAGTGGTTAATATACAAATTTAAATCGTTGTAGATCCTAAACAATCATATAAAATGAAAAATGGTGTAAGGAACATGATTTTCGATTATCTAGACAATGATACCCCACTCGACATATTTCGGCAACTTATTTTTTTTTTTCTTTCGCACAATATGGTGCCCAGTTGTCTCCATATTAATTTTTTATTATTATCATACTACATACTTAAGTAGCACTCCCATGATTAAGACGAATCGATTGATGTATAAATCATCAAAATCGGTCCACGCGTTTGGTCTCTAGTGTGCCACAAAGGAACAAACATACATATTATAGACTGTTAAACACTAAACCCTGTCTGCGCGTCGCGCTTCGCGCTCTTGCATTGCGCAGTCGGGTATAAATACAACAATATAAACAGCAAGCAAAGCAATGCAAAAACAAAGCGAAGCAATTCATTTCAGCCCTAAAAAACATTTAAATTCAAAATATACATGATTGATAACGCAACCACAACCGCCACTCAAAAATAGCAGTTACACTCATATAGCAATAAGCATAAGTTATGTACTGTTATTCAAAAAACAGGACATAATAGTGTCAAAAAGTATAAGGCCAAATCATGCTACGGACAATTTGCATCAATGCTGTGAAGCAGCTCCTCCGTTTTTATTCAGCAAAAGAAATCAAGGTACATATTACTTACAAGTTACGCTATAATTGATTGTTCATTTAACAGTTGATTTTTGAGATGTTTTCTAAAAGTTTTATGTGTTATTGAAAAACTCGACTAAAAAAAAATTGTTTACTTTATTTGGAAAATAATTTGGGGTGAGGCCCTGAGAATACAGCTGGATTAGGCGCATTGTCGGTCCTGCTTAATTTTGCTTTTTATTGGAGACTGTACGTACGATTTAGAAATGTGAAGAAAACATGCAGCATAAGATATACAAAAGAAATTCGATCCATCCATTGACGTCTCGGTAGCGTAACGGTTAATGCATTTGACCGAATAGCAACAGCCTGGCACCGGGCCGAATGAACGTTGTTCTGTCGAGTTATTTTTAAGCTAAGATCAGTTACAGTCCAGAGGCCTAAGCACGAATTTTGACAGCTCCATAATCGTATCATCATCGTCAAATTTTGTACGAATGGAGCCAGTTTGTTCTTACGTCTGGTAGGCTGTGAAATTCGTCCGTGCTTGGGCCTTGGTTAAATTAAACGTATATTTGGGTAATTTCACTTTGCTGTTTATTGCACACTGCAACTATAAAACATCTAGAAGGAACAAGGAATATGTCCACTCACCCTCTCTCCGGTTCATCGCTGGCTACAACTCCCCCGTACACGATCAGTTCATCGTCGTATATGACCGAGGAATGAGCAAACCGCGGCGCCGGCGATACGCCACGAGTCTCTACGCTTTCCCACTCTTTGTCGGTCACTTTATATCTGCGGGGAATAGGACAAGGTCGAAATTGGTGATCATCTCGAGAACTAATATCTCGCAATCAAATTCATTCTAAGGCTCTCAACTCTGACAGCGATCTTAAGTAAGATCTTGAGATGCTGTTTTGTATGATAACAGTATCTCAAGATCGTAGTCACGGAGTTGAGGCCGATCTATTAATACAGGCCTTACTATCCTAGGAAAGTTATAAATGTAAAATGTGTTTCTACGTTTGTTTCGATCACGCTTAATTCTTTGTATGGATGTGGATAAAATATTTGGGACACGTTGTTCTGGTTTTTTTTTTGTTAATGTGGACTGCTCAAAAACTAACTAATAACGTGGATGAAGTCTGACAGGCCTATTATGTACGGTCATTTGTATTAAAACGCCACCATCACTGATCTGTAGAGGAAAGGTTCCTGTAAGAACGTCACCCCATCGACGCGCAACAGTTCGCCGCGGTACGTTACCAGCGAGTGTCCAGCAGCGAGTGGTGGGTTCGTCGCAGTCGGCGTGTTCATTGTAGCCGAAGGGCTCGCATCACTTCCACCACAATCCCTAGTAATAGTATACTGACCTGAAGAGGGAAGGTTCCTGTGAGAACGTCCCCCCGCTGACGCGTCGCGGATCGCCGCGGTGCGTCAGCAGCGGGTGGTGGGTTCGTCGTAGTCGGCGCGTTCATTGTTCCCGGAGGGCTCGCGTCAATTCCCTCCAAGTGATAGTACACTAACCTGTAGAGGAATGGTTCCTACGAGAACGTCTCCCCGCCGACGCGCAGTAGATCGCTGCAGTACGTCAGCAGCTAGTGTCCAGCTGCGGGTGGTGGGTTCGTCGTAGTCGGCGCGATCGTTGTAGCCGGAGGTCTCACGTCACCCCCACCCCTATCCCTAATGATAGTACACTGACCTATAGAGAAAAGGTTCCTGCGAGAACGTCTCCCCACCGACGCGCAGTAGATCCCCGCGGTACGTCAGCAGCGAGTGTCCAGCAGCGGCCGGTGGGTTCGTCGTAATCGGCGCGTTAGTCGTAGTAGGCGAGTCGCCGGGCTCGCGCCACGCCCATCGCCAGCCGGCCGCGGCGGCGTCGCGCGCGCAGGATTCACCCGCGCGTGACGTCACACATTCGCAGCCGGCGGCGGTGCATGTGCCCGCCCCATACGCTGCGTTGCACTCCTCTGATAATAAATAGTGAATTATTTCTAACTAAACCAGGTTGATATGGGATACTAGTATTGTTGAAAGAAATACATTATAGTTAATTCTAAACCGAACCTAATGGCTTCTCTTGACAAATTCCCATATTGGGAGATTATAGATACGCACGATTGTGTAAAGGGCATAATCGTCCATGAGGGGCCAACTCGCCTGTAATCTGCAAAAATTGTCGGTACATCACAATCGCTCATTACTCAATTGCACAAAGGAAGCCGAGGCTTGAGCACGTGTGTGTAAATTAAATCCAAAGGGTGCTAAAGTTGCATGGATGTTAGGCACTGGACCCAATCCGCAGTTGGCCAAATTCATTTTTTTTCAGTTACCATCGGCGTGTTCATTGTAGCAACCGATTATAATTATATACGGAGCAAATCGATAGCAGCAGCCGCTGTCAATTCAACGTCCATCTTCAACAGACGACGGTGACATAAATGAACAGTCACAATTGTGTAGAGCAACCCATCATCGCGGCGATGATGGCCACCTTTTAAAACGTTCATCTTGGCCCATTGTGAAGAGAGGGCATAAGACTAACCTCTAAGTAGGCGACACCTTGAAAACTAATATAAATACCAGTACACCATGAAGGGTTTCCAATTTACATATATATTATTTAGAGAAATTACCTGGACACAGGGGTTGATCACAGGCCGCTCCTATCCAGTCTGGTTCGCATCTACATGTACCATCGTCACATTCACCATGGTCTAGAAAAGAAACAGATTTACATGCTTCATTATTTACAGTAGCAGTCATTTATACACATTGTTTTTCAATTTCATTTGATATATTTATTATTCAAGTAGTATTTATAAGAAGCATACAGAGTAAATTAGAAACAGCTGGTTGAACAGCAAAAAAAATCTCTGTTAATTCTGGAGAACGCAACTTCTTGGCCAACAGATAGGTACATACATACATGAAGGAAACATGTACAGACATCCCAAAGCCACACATCAATATTTTCTCAAAAGATTGAGAACCTTATGTTGAGCAAGATAAAACTCACTCAGATTTGAGTAACTTGATTCGTGATATACCAATCATAGATGTCATGGACTGAGCGACACTCTTGTGAAATTTCAAAATTTCTAGAAAGAGAGATATAACTTTCTCCCCAAACTGAAACCGAACTTAGATCTTGGAAGCTTGCCAATGTACAACCAATACCTAAATAGTAACCATGCCGACCCTTGTAATAACCGTCGGATCGCAATTACTTCCATAATTTGTATGGTTATGGAGAAAGTTCTTAAGCACAAGCTACTCTCATACCTAGAAGACAACGCGATCTACTCAGTGATCGTCAATATAGTTTCCGCCAGGGACGGTCGACTGGGGCTCTTCTTGTATTTCTGACGCACTGCTGGGGTGAGGCCATCGAGAAACACGGCGAAGCACTTGCTGTTTCGCTCGACATCTCAAAGGCTTTCGATAGGGCTTAGCATGCAGGTCTGCTAAGCAAACTTCCAGCGTACGGCATCCCTGCTGGCTTTTAGAACTAACTGATTTCCTGAGCGAACTGGGGTAGAGGTTTTAAAAAATAAAACGAGTTTAAATTAAGATTAACTGGCATACAACTGCCACGAACAGTGGCTTGAATAGGACTAGCGCTGGCCGAATGTCGCAATACTGACGGCTGGCCTGAAATGCTAATGCGGCAACATCAGTTATGGCTGTCAGCTATTCTATGAACATTTTAGGGGAGTAACATCTCCCTCCTTATGGAAATATACTTCGGGGTAAATCCCTTAAGTTTATGGAACAAGGGAAAACTGGAAATTAAACATTTATTCTAATTTTAGCTGGTGAGCTGCCTTTCTTGGAGGTCTCTCTCTGGTTTAAGGTTAGTGTCTGTTTGTATGTCAATGGGATTTCGAATTTCTCGACTTGGTTGGTTGAGGTTAACTAGGGGAATATCTAATTGTTCATGTTTGTGAAGATTGTTGCTGTTATTAATCTAATATATAAAATTCTCGTGGCGCACGCACACTGTGTGCGAAATTGAACTACTCCGAAACGGCTCGACCGATTATCGTGAAATTTTATATGCATATTCACATGGACGTATAAAAAAAGGCGGACAGAGTCCCGGTAAACAACAAACTGTATCGCTCAGAGTCGGCCAGGTCGCTATACGTACAAGTCGACACACACACATTCACACCATAGTCAGCCATTACGCGTGCAAACGTCAAAGCAGCCGACACGTTACGTGGAGATAAAAATAAGTTAAACAAGATGTCTTGCGTGGTAAAATGGTGTAAAAACCGTAGTGACCGAAAGAAAAAAAATCCAGGAATCACGTTTTTCCAGTTTTTAGAAATCAAAATCAATTTTCATTCTAAGGACAAAATGATTAGTCTAAAGCCCAGTGTTGCCAATGTTCATGTAACCATATTACCTAAAATATGGGAAATTGGGTTGACATTAACTTAAATCTATTATTTATTATTCTTTTTTATCAGATTTCCTAAAGAAAATGTAGTATGGAGAAATTACTGGAGAATGAATGATTTCCAAACAATTAAGTAGTAGTGTTATTTTTAGTAGTAAGCTCAAGACTTATATACAACTAAAGGAGGACTCCGGCGTGTTATTACGTATGCATTACCTCAAAAGGTTGATTAAAATTTTTAACCGATTTCGAAAAGAAATAGGTCCGCAATGCGTGTTTTTTTTATTGTTGTTCGCGCAGATCTCCGAGATTCGTGGACCGTTTATGATGATTCTTTTTTTGTTTTAATCAGTTTACTAGCGAGATGGCTGCATATTAATTTACTGGAGATCTGAAGAGTACTTTCGGAGGAAAGCAATGGAACTCCTCAATTACAAAAAGTACTCAATGGGTGTTAGTTTATTTTAAGAAATATGAAAGAGAATGTTGGCCAGGCCATCTATATTTAGTTGATTTACCCAATATTGAGAAAATTCGATACATTCTAGAATTTCTAATGAGTCCCGACTGTTAAAGTAACTTTGTTAGTTATTAAACAGAATTCTAGACTACTAGACTTGTTTTTTTCTTTTTAGTACATTTTTTTTTATTTTAGACATTTTTATTTCATTATTTTTAATTACACGAGTTGTATATTTTCTAAATATTATTTTAAAACTCTTCACTTTGATACCTCGCTTGACGGGTTATAAAAATACTTATACTTTTTTTTCAAAATGTTTCATTTATCGCATAAAATCTGTTATTTTGATTTTTGAAATTTTTATATACCGAGTGCCACTCACACAATCACGACAAATCAAATGACACCTCGCATGTCAAAATCCGTCAAGACGTTCAGGCTGTAGGGCGTGCCAAATTATTGGACATACATACATACATGCATACATACGCTCGAAAAACATTATCCTCCGCAGTCGGGCAAAAAGTAAAATTTTGAACAATCAAAATATTTTCATGTTTTTACTGTGTTTTATTGGTAAAAAATTGGCTAACCTAGCAACCCTACAGTATCACTCACTCACTCATCAATAGCCGCCGCCATTATGGTGCCTCAGTATTGTCTTAGCCGAAACTCTGTCCGCCTTTTTTTATACGTCCTTGCATATTCAGTAGATCTGAGAATCGGACAACATCTATTTTTCATCACCCTAAATAGTAAGGGTGGTCCACCCTAATTTTTTTTGACAATTTTTTTTTATGAGTCATCATACAAAAATACATAAAACCCTAAATTTTCACCCTTCTACTATCAACCCCAAGTTTTTATGGTGGTACGAAGTTCGCTGGGACAGCTAGTTTCTTTATAAAGTTTAAATATAATTATAATGATTGTAATTATTATAATACCTATAGTTATAATAGAGTAATGTGCCCCATACTTAACAATATATTACACTTTTGTTAAGCTGCTGAGAATTTGGTGAGGTCATCCTGAAGAGTCATCATAAATTTTAATTTGGCATGGCCGGACTCTGGTAGTGGACCGACTATATCAAGAGATACCCTTTGAAAGGGGCCGGTAGAAGTAGTAGTTATCTGCATGGGTGCTTTATTGATTCTCCTTAAAGCCCTATTTCCCTGGCAGACTGAACATGATTTGACGTAGTTTTCTACGTCCGTTTTCATATCTTTCCAGTAGTAATACTCTTATATCCGGTTTAGCATTCGATTGGTGTCTAAGTGACCAGCGGTTGGTAAGTCGTGATTTTCCCTAAGGATCCTTTTGCGTTCCTTAAGGTCTGGATACATTATGCTGTTGTGACAGATATTAATTGCTATATGAGTCTCGTGGAAAAAGTAGACTAGAATATTATAGATTTTAGCAAATTATTGTTTCTCAAACGGGTCTGTAAAGTCAGAAATGGCTAATTTAGTGATTGTTCCATCCTGCATGATGTGATTTCTTATGTTACTGAAGGTTTGGAATTTTTCTGCATACAGACAGTTATCAAAGTGATGTACTTTGATAAAGATGAAGTAAATATTTTTATTGGCATAAAGTACCTTTTTGAAGGAGCGTAATTGCTTCTCCGATTACAGTGTATTGTCAGAGTTGTCAAGATTTTCCAGGATCTCGGGTAAGTATGTGTTGGATTCGTCTAAATCAATGGATGTAGGAACGAGAATGGTCTTCAATGAGTCTTCATTAGCGACTTATTATGTTCGATGACGGATGTGTTGAAAACTTTGTACTGGTCATTATTTTCTTTCAAGAAGGTCGAATAGTTATTCTAGGCAAGTACTTTGTTTTGGTTTGAGTCGTAGGGTTGTAGGGTTGGTGATATAGTAGGTTCGGGTTCGGAATGTGAGGCGTTCAGCGTGATTTGGTTTTCAGAATTCCGCAAGGGAAATGCTGTTGACGGAGTTGGTAAAGGCAAGTCGTTAAAGATTACAGGTACAGAGGTCTCAGGATATGGTGAAAGAGACTGTTCAGATAAGTATCTTTGAGTTTCAGGACTTGGGATAGTGGTTCCTTGGTTAATGGGTGCCAAGTGATCATCGGATTTAGGAGGTTCTTCTTGTCTGGATTTAGTAGAATCGGAGGGGCTATTGAAGAGCCATTTGAGTGGCTCGTGATCAGTAAGGATTTGGAATTTCCTTTCGTACAGGTAGGGCCGAAATGTTATACAACCGAATATTATGGCAAGGAGTTTCTTCTCTGTTGTACTGTAATTAGATCCACTCTTATTGAGTGTTCGAGAAGCATAGGCGGGGCGGATGGGGCGGGGGATGTGTTAGGTTTATATATAGCACAAAGACGGCTAAACCTAACACATCACCTATTTTACCATTCTGCGTCCCGTCTGGTAATCTGGTGAATGGTCTGGGGAGCGAGCGCAGGTCGTGTAGATCCCCCAGACAAGCCTGGCTGTTTTCCTTCACGTGGTTGCCGCCCGTTATTGGTCTGATTCCCTATGAAACAGACGTAACTGAAATGGTCAGACGATTTTCCTCCCCATCCACCAGGAGTAGGGAGGCGGCCTGGTGGTGCGTCAGCCTCTCCTGCGCTAGGACCTGCGCAGCATCGCCGTAAGCAGGGATGAAGGGATCCTGGTGTTTGAGCGGAAAGGGTAGCTGCGGCACCCCGGAAGCAACACAGCACTTTGGCCCGGATTTCAAGCGAGACGGCAACTTCGTGGTGTAGCCGACCACGAGGCAACGGTCAGGGCGTCTACCGTCTATGGGTCGCCGGCGAGGGGTGTGGGGGTCGCTCTTAACATCTAGCGATGGACTCCGGCCATGCTG